CCGCGCTGACGATGCACTCTGGCACCAGCGCCTCGGACATCCTTCACGCGCGACGCTGAAAAACTGCATCGACGCAGGCGTCTTCGCTTCTGGAGCGCTCCTGCGCCCAGATGGGACTGAAGTGAGAGGCGCGACACATTCGCGCAACTGCACCGTCTGCCCCGAAGCTGCGCTGAGCCACCAACCGTTCCCGCTGCTCGAGCCAGGGACGAACCGCTACCCCAAGCTGCACAAGGTGTACAGCGACTTCCTAAACGTGGGGCATTGCGGAGTCGATGACGAAATGTACACGCTCACCTTCATCGACGCAGGAACGCGCTATGTGTGGGTCGCGAACGTCCCGCGACAGAGCTTACGAGGTATTCCGCCTCTGGCTGGCGCACGCACAGCGGCAATCTGGGGAGAAGCTGAAAATCTGGCAATCTGACGGAGCGGCAGAGTTCAGGAGCAACCAAATGCAGACTTACCTGGCGCAAAAGGGGATCGAGCACCATATTTCTCTCCCCTACGCACACCAGCAGCAGGGCGTAGCTGAGCGGACGAACCACACGCTTATGACGAAGGTGCGGGCGCTGATGAAACAGTCAAAATTGCCGCCGATCTACTGGACCTACGCGATGCACCACGCCGTGCGGGTACACAACCTGCTTTCTACCACCGCCATCACCGGCAACTTGTCCCCGCACGTCAAATGGACAGGGACTAAGGTGGACACGACCATGCTCCGCGTATGGGGGTGCATGGTGCAATACCGCCCACCGATATCAACCATCGGCAAATTCGCCAGCCGCGCGCGCTGGGGTATTCACCTCGGCATCAGTCACGAGTACAAAGCGTGGATCATGCTGGACCTCCTCAGTCAGAAGACCGCCCACGCTCGCGACGTAATCTTCTACGAGCGCCTCTTCTTCGAGCAGTTCCGCCACGACGAGCAGACGAACGCGAACCGCGTTTACGCAAACGATGGGCAGCTACGCAACGCCCGAGGACGAAGCCGCTGCAGCAATCCTGGAGCAGGACACCAGGGGCGAGTTCACATGGGGAGATTGGCGCAGCAGCAACGACGACGACGACGATTCCTCTGGAGGAGGAATGGGCGGAACAGGCGGAAGCGGCAGAGGCGCAGCACCACCAGCACCACCTGAGCCAGAGAGTGATGACGACCACGTGCAGGAAGTCGTCCCACAGCATCGCCATGACAGCACGGTCTCAGGGCTGCAGCTGCTTGGGCTACATACTGCGACTTCGAAGGCGCCACGTGTCATCGAGGCACGAAACCCGCGCCAAGCTCTCACTGGACCACACAGCAAGGAATGGCGCGAAGCGATGGACGCGGAGATTAAAGCGCTCAAATCTCGAGACACCTGGGTGTTAGTCGACCGCGCAGCGATTTAAGGCGCGAGGGTCCTCTCGGGGAAATGGGTCTTCCGGGTGAAGACCGCAGCAGACAGAACAATCGAGCGCTTCAAGGCGCGATGGGTGGTGCGCGGATACGACCAGAGGCATGGGATCGACTTTGATCAAACATTTGCACCAGTCAGCCGCCACACCTCTGTCCGAATCTTGCTCGCCATCGCAGCCGCAAGGCACCTGCCTCTCCGCCAGATCGACGTCAAGAACGCGTTCCTGTACGTGTTAGTAGACGCCGTGATCTACGTGGAGCAGCCGCATGCATACGGCGAAGGGGATTCGCGCGTATGCCAGCTACGCAAGTCCCTTTACGGGATCAAGCAGGCACCGAGGCTGTGGCAGCAGTATCTGCACAACGTTCTGCTTGAGATCGGGTTCAAGCAGATGCCGCACGATCCAGGGATGTACCGCCGCGATTTCCGCGGCGAATACATTCTCCTCACGGTCTACGTCGACGACCTACTTTACACAGGATTGAGCAACGAATTGCTCGAGCAATTTGAGAAGGCCTTGGCGGGGCGCGTCGACATCACGTGCAATTACGAGGTGAAGCAGTTCTTAGGCCTCAACATCTCCTACACGCCTGAGGCCATTCATCTCTCAGCGGCTAAGTACGCAGAGGAGTTAGGGAAGCGGTTCAACATTTCACCTGCACTGCTCTCTACTCCCTACCGAACTTCCGGACCGAACCACAAACCTGACAACAAAGCCCTATCCCCTGCTGGAATTCAGACCTACCAGCAGCAGCTGGGATGCCTGCTCTTTGCATCTGTCACTTGCAGGCCAGACCTCTCCTACATCGCAAGTCAACTAGCCCAGTACTCACGCAAACCAACGGCCAAGAATCTTCTGGACCTGCAGCGCGCTCTACAGTTCTTCGTCTCAACGCCTAAGATTGGGCTGTGCTACTCAACCGCACCAACCCCATCCTTCAACCGCATCGGCTACGTGTACGCCGATCACGCAGCAGATCCCGACAATCGACGGTCCAGGACTGGCTTCGTTCCGATTCGAACCAACGGGACCAATCTCTTGGAATTCCCAGAAGCAGGAGCTGGTTGCCCTGTCGTCAGCCGAAGCGGAATTCATCGCAGCAACCGCAGCAGTTCGCGAAGGCCTCTACCTGGAGGAAATTCTGCAGGAGGCGAAAATTCCGACTTCGCCCACTTTTCGTCTTCACTGCGACAACCAGAGCGCGATTCGCATCGCGAACAAGCCTGGTTTCATCAACCGCACCAAGCACATTGCGCTGCAGTATTTCTTCGTGAAGGACGAAGTGGACAAAGGCAAGGTTGACTTAACCTACTGCCCGACTTATGACATGGCAGCAGACTTCCTCACGAAGCGACTGCCACGCCAGCAGTATCAGCACTGCTCCGAACTCAGTGGCGTGGTCATGCAGGTCAAGTCGAGCTACGGCCAGGAGTGAAGGGGGGTGTTACGAATAGTAATGAATGAAGATTACAGTGCACTCCCGACCGCGGCTAAAGAAGCATGCATTATCGAGAACGAATGCGAAGAGTCAGAACTGACTCGAAGCGTCAGACGGTTGGAATGCATCTGGACCATCGGAGCAGACGTCATCGGGCAGCTGCAGGCACAAGGGTTTTTGGCGGGAACAGTTTCGTAACTGTACGCGCCGCACGGTTGGGAATGAATCTGAATAAGGGAATGTACCCCTTAGAGTACATGGCTAGCTAGGTTGATTCGTCTTCCTTGTACTCATATTTATATTTGCTGTATTTGCATGTTTTAATTTATCTCAAGCATTTCACATTCACTCTGCTATTGAGGTCAAGGGCCCACCTAGTCTATCTACCTGCGTGCGAACCTTCTCGAGGAGATCCTGGCAGCGATCACCTTCTGATCGTAGCAATCAGTTTGACCGAAAACTGAAATCAAACAGGAAACACTGGAAAATCAGTCCTTGGAAACATAAAACACTGATTTATCAGGGTTGTAAAAAGAAAAAGGCTGATAAATCAGGGTCACAATAAAAAACTGGGGTCAAACTTCAGGAAATCAGGGTAAAATTCCTGAAATCTGAGGCCCTGGGTGCAGCCCCCTTAACATTCAAAATTCACCTCAGAGGACAAAAAGGGGGGCATTTCATTATCTTCCTACATTTACTCTCATGTACGACAATTGTGGATTTGTACATCCTTTGTATTATAACCATTAAATATAGAATTCCGAGTCTTGTTCACCTTACAGACTTTAGTCACAGCAACTGAATAGAGCGTACACCTGCCAAAGATTCCAAAACCACTTCGCCCGTGGCTTCCGCAAATGTACGATGACGTTCACATTCCGCAAAATCAGCTCCACTTTCGCGTGTTAGTACATCTTCCGCTGGAATTCAGTTAGAGTGTCTGCCAGCAGTTAGCACGTGTGAAAGCAGCGATGGAATCGGCGAGGGTTCAAAACGGTCAGCCAATGCAGTTCCAGCTGCACGGGCACGAACACGCTGGTTATTTCGTCGCCTCCGCAGCGGCCATAGTTCCGCCTTTTGCTAGCACTCCGCTCCCTCTCGCTATTACTATCGCTAAAAGGACTTGGAAGCGCCCAGTGCTGACGGTGTATCCGAACTCCGAACAAGGCACGACCTATTGCTCTTTCCTCGGGATTGCCGAGTCGGACCAAATAGCTGCGCGCGCTGACGCGACAGCCAAAAGTGACCGTGTCCGCAGCGCGAGTTGTTGCAACCTTCACCCTGCGGCCTCTCGTATTAGTCAAGCCACTGACAAGGCGAGCCTCACCCTCTCCTCTCTGGGGTCGGGACATGTGGACTGGACACGTGTCACAGCGTCATTGATCGGCTGCGAGGTGGAAGTCAAGGGAAGGGGTAACGAAACGAGATTAAACCTGGTTTGGGGAGGTGAGGAGAGGAAGGAGCAAGAATTAGGGTTTGAGACAATGTCCCGTGGCCGGTATATGGATAGTTTAAGTGACAAGCTCAATATAAACATAATAGATTTTAGACCACTGGATGTAGCGCTTTCCCTTATGCATAACGCTGCGGTATTTTGTACAGTGAACGATGAGAATTCGTTACAGGATGCAAGAAGCGGAGCTGAGAAAGCCGCGGACCATGCTGACGTGACATGACCCGTGTAGACGTGGAAGCTGTCAGCGATGACTGTGAGGATGCTGATGCTACCACCCCTGGTACCGGTACTGCTTCTGCTGGTGGTGCTCGTGCTGCCGCTGGTGCTGCTGGTGATTCGTGCCTTCAAACGGAGCATGGGAGCAGCAGCAAGTGTGTCACAGGTAGAGGCCAGAACCTTTCGAGAAAAAGGCCTGGCAAGGGAGGGGGCGCGGGAGGGAAGCGGAGGGAAGCAGTGGAACGAGGAGGCGGAGGAGGGAGAGGGGGACGAGGAGGGGGAGGAGGTGGAGGTTCAGAGAGTATCTGGGCGTGTGTTGACGAGTTTTTTGCCCGGAACCCTGTTCAGGTGAAAGCCCAGGTGATCTGTTGCCATACCGTGCCTTCCAGTTCCTTCCACCGATTCCCACCTGACAAAACACTTGAACGTGAGTCAAAGTCAATCCAGCAGGATTCAGGTCCTGCAAAGGGCGAGGCTGAGAAAGCGATGGACGCAGGAACAGAAGGAGGAAAAGGAGAAGGAGGAGAAGAAGAAAATGGACGAACGGAAGAGCAAAGAGGAGAGGGAGGCAAGGGGGTTGCAGGAGGGGAGGGGGTGCCAGGAACGGTGCTGGTGATGCAAGTGTTAGTGGATGTGTACGTTCACAAGGAAATCTGGTACCTGCCTGCTAGATGGAAGGGAGGGGCCGCCACCGCCTTTGTTCTCTCCCATCTCCGCTCTGATTGGCCCATGCATCCGTGTAACCAGCCTTGTAACACGCGGCGTGTTACGTGTGCGTGTGTGCCGGAGACGAGTCCATCTCCCAGTTTTCCTGCCTGTGATGTGCACGGGTGCACGCTCCATGGCTTTCTTAGCTTCTCCTCCTCGTTTCCGCATGCACCAGCGGAAGCCTCCTCTACAGTCACAGCCACACCGCATACAGTCACACCTCCTTCCAGAGACTCCTCAGACTTCAGCCTGTCCAAGATCTTTCGCTCGCTGCCCAACCGATTCGACGCCCCAACAGTCTACCCGTAAGTTAACTGTATTCTGTCCCCCTCAAAACCCAAACCCTCTTCCCCCTCTCCCTCCTCCCTCTCCCACCCCCACATGATCCTATTTCTTCTTGCAACGTTCCTGTTTTCATTACAATCTCATGCACAAATGTGTTGCCTATATGGCTGGTTACCTGTCTTTGAGTTCATGTTTGAGAATTCTCAATAGTGATTCTTTGAGTTCTTTCCTCCACCATCTCCTCTCTCCACCCAAGTTCTCTCCCACCTATCCACACCCCTCCGCACCCTTCATGCACCCCCTGCTCTCAGAGACCCCCCTCCAGCACCACCCACCTCCTCCGCCCCTCCCTCCCTCCTCCTCTCTCTCCCCCCTGACCTCCTCCTCCTCTCCCTCTCCCGCCTCTCCCCCACCGACCTCCGCTCTGCTGCTGCCACGTGTACACGCCTGCGCCAGCTAGCACTGCCAGCCGTACCCAACCTGCCGCACCTGTCCCTCTTTCCACATCAGCGGTCGGCGCTACAGTGGATGATGGGGAGAGAGAGGGGGAGAGTGCGGGAGGGATATGGAGGGTCCTGCAGGGGTTTGTTAGGAGTCCGTTAGTGAGTGTGTTGAGGATGAGAGAGGAAGAGAGTGAGTGTGGTGGTGGTGGAGTGGGGAGTGTGAAGGGGAATGGGAATAGGAGTGGAGGGAGCGAGGGGAGGGTGATGCTGTGCGATGTGATTACAGGGGGAGTGAGGTTCCTATGGAGCAACGAGAGGAGAAGTGGAAGGGCAAAGAGACAAAGTAGAGAATGGGAAGAAGAGGAATGCAAGAGTGGGTTGCAGGAAAGAGCAAGTCGACAAGAGGGCGAGAAGAGGGAAAAGGAAGGTTTGGGATGTTCAGGCTTGGCAACTTTGGAGTTCGGCAGACTAGGCGCAGTACTGGACCTAGAGGACAGGCTCGGCATGGTGCCGGACGCGCGGGGAGGTCTGTTTTGTGACGAGCCTGGGCTGGGTAAGACTGTGACTGCCTTGGCGCTGATTCTCAAGACCAAGGGGTTGCTTCCGGCTGTGCCTAGGGGTAGCCGATTGGTGGTGTGTGGGAGGAAGGGAGAGAATGGAGTGAACGGGTGGAGTGGAGGAGGAGGAGTAGGAGGGGTGTGGAAAGGAGGGTTGCTGGGGTATTACGAGAGGGTTATACCCGGAGAGGCAAGGAAAGGGAAGGAGTGGGAGGGTGGGGGGGCGTGGGTGAAGCAGGCCGGGCATGGCTATGCGATGGGGGGAGGGCAGGATGGCGTGGATGAGATTAGGGGGAAGAAGGGGATGGTAGAGTGCGGTTTAGAGGAGAAGGAGGCAGATTGGAATGTGTTGAATGCGGTGCATGAGAGTGGCAACAGGTGTGATGCGGTGCAGGGGGATGGAAGTGGGATGACAGAGAAGGTGTTAACTGGGGGCAGTGTGATGAAAGTGGGGGATGGCGGGGCAGAGTTGAAAAGTGGGACAGAGATGAGAGGTGGGCCATTTTTGAGAGGTGGGGCAGAGGGGAGGGAGGAGACTGATGGGAGTGGGGCAAAGGGCGGGCGACAGGAGAAGGGTGAGGGAGGGGAGAGGAGTGAGGGAGAAGTTAAAGGCCGGGGAGGGATGAAGCTTAGGGCAGAGGGAAAGAGTGAGGGGGATGAGGGGGAGCTTACGACCAAGGGAGAGGAGAAGAGTAGGGGAGTGAAGGGCGGAGGGAAGGGGTCGAGGAGACCCAGATCGAGTGCTGGCAGGAGGGGCAGTGCAGCAAAGGAAGCATCCGAGGGGGCAGCAGGGGAGGCAGCAATGGAGGCATCAAAGAGTGCAATGACCCGATGGGGAAATGATCCCATTGCAATGGTGCTTGCCTTGCAAGCGCCGAATTTGACGAGTCAGATGGATGTGGGAGGTGGGCTGGGAGGGAGAGTGGTTCAGAGCGGTGTGCAGCGGAATCAGGGATCAGGGATTTGTGCTGCTGACACGCCTGGGTTTGCTGATGGGACTCTTGTGACAGGTGCTCAGGCAAGGGAAAACAGCAGGGAGGCAGGAAAAGAGGAGTGGAGCAAGGCAGGAAAAGAGGATGGGAGCAAGGCAGTAGATGTTTCTTGGAGTGATGATGAGATCAAGGATGCTGGAGCTGAAGGCGAGGAGGCTGGGAGGAGAAGGAAGAGGAGGCACCGTGGTGGAGGTGGCAGGAGGAATGGTTGTGTTGATGGTGGTGAGTGTGCTGCTCGTGATGATTGCTTTGCGTGGGGAAACGGTCATGAGGAGGGTAAGGAGGAAGGTGTAGAAAAGGTCACAGAAGAAGGTAGAAGTGAAGACGGGGTGAGGTACCTTGGCAAGGGGAGGCGATGGGAAGAGGAGGAGGAGGAGTTGGAGGAGGACGAGGAGGAGGATGAGGAGAGAGGAAGTGGTGAGAGGGAAGATGATGAGTGGGTGCCTTCTAGTGCGGGCAGCGACAGGCGAGTGGGCTCTTCCGCTCGTGCCGAGGACTCAACACCGGCCTCTCGCCTTTCCACGGGTGCCTCTTGTTCCTCTGCGCAGATAACTCCATTGTCTGCTCATTCCTGTTCTTCCAAGGGGTGTGTACGTATACTTTACCCTCCCAGCAGCAGCAGCAGCAGCAGCAGGGGTGGCAAAAGCAGGGTGGCAGTTTGTATGCTTCTGCTGGCGCTGCCGATACTGCTGATGGTGCTGACGCTGCTGATGGTGCTGGCAAGTGTACCACTAGACGCTGCTTGCTCACCTGCTTTAGAGCATGCAAATACAAGAGTCTAGGAGAATTAGTAAAGGGAAAGGAGGCCGTGAGTGGCAATTACAGGAGCAGGGCGCGGGGGACCACTGCAGAAGCTGTGAGTGATGATCACAGAAGGAGCAACAGGAGGATAGATGCAAAGGGCGAGGATTTGGAACATGGTGAGGGAGCAAAAACTGCAGCAGTGGGTGCAGCCGGAACGGTGTATGGGAGTTTGGAGCATGCAGGGAGTGATGCAGATAGGGTGGCTGAAACGGTGCTGGGTGGCAGGCAGGACTCCCAAACGCAGGCGCACAGCAGTGCATTTGCGCAGACACAAAGAGGCGAGGATGCAAGAGCTGATAGTTACGCGAGGGGATGGGGATGATTGTAAGGTTGTGGCTGATGGGGAGAAAGGGCGAGAGAATAAAGGGGATAAGGAGAGGGCAGAATTAGGAGAGGGAGTGGGGCAGATTGTACGGGAGAAAGAGAAGAATGTCGCAATGGGGACAAGGAGCCACGGGTTAGGGGTAAGGCGCAAGTGGGGAACGGAGGAGGAGGAGAAGGTGATGGTGGTGCAGGAGGGTGAGCAAAAGGCAGAGACTGAACCGCAAGTGGCAGCCAGGCAAAACGTGACTGTTAAGGATGATAAAAAAGCAGACAAGCAGCACGTGACTGTAAAGGGCGGACAAGAAGCAGACAAGCAGCACGTGACTGTAAAGGGCGAACAAGAAGCGGGCAGGCAGCATGTGACTATAAAGCTGGCTGAGACGAGCCGCGAGGGGCAGCGTTTGACAGACCGCGAGTTGGTGGAGGAAAATTGTGAGCCAACTCAAAAGCTGTGTTGTGAGAGGCAGTGTGAGGCAGAAAGCGAGCTTGTGAAGAAAGGTGTTGAGTCGACTCAAAAGACGGGCTGTGAGGGGCAATGTGGGGCAGACAGCGAGAGCGAGAGGAATTTGGAGGCGCCTCAAGAGAGCGAGACTGTGGAGAAATGGGTCTCCTGCGACGAGTGTGGCAAGTGGAGGAAGGTTCCCGGAAGCTACACCTATCCGGAGAACCAGTTGTGGTTCTGTGGGTTGAACCCCGACCCGGCCCGGCGGGTCTGCTCCGACCCAGAGGAATCTGCCAGTGCTGACTCCGACATTTCTTCACTGCCCGGATTCTGCCTGGTCGAGGCAGCGTTTGATGACGGGCTTCCCGCAAATGTGTCGCTATTTGTGGAGAGGATCAAGAGCAGGTTTCGGCGGGCTGAGTCGGAGTTGGAGTGGAGTGACGTGGTGGGAGGGGTGAGGTGGCTTGCTCGGATTGGTCCGGGGGAAGCAGCGAGGCTGGTTGATGGTATTGGTGGGGCTGGGGAGGATGAGAGAGGGGGAGAAGATAAAGGAAGAGGGAGAGGAGTAGAGGGAGGCAGAGGGAGAAAAGTAGAGAGGGGACAAGGTAGAACAGCAGTGAAGGTCAGCAGGGGTAGTGGCAGCAGCCGCAAGGGCAGTGAAGCAGAGGAAGGGAGAGTTACTACGAGAAGAAAGGGGCTGGTGCCCCCAGGGTGTGTGAGCCGAAGTGAGTGTTGCTCGCACCTGCTCGCCTCCCTCGGGCTTGTGTGGCTGCCTGCCTCACCCCTGACACCCGGACACACAGCAAGGGGAAGACGAGCGGGAGGGGTTGGGTCTGGGGAAGGTGGGTCTGGGGGAGGTGCATCTGGGGGAGGGGGGCCTGGGGGAGGTGGGAGGAGAGGCAATGGCGGCAGCAGAGGAGGAGAAAGAGGAGGAAATGGGCCACGAGTAAGAGGAGGAAGAGGAGGTGGGGGAGGAAGAGGAGGAAGAGGAGGCAGAGGAGGAGGCAGCGTCTGCCTTTGGGTTGACAGGGCTGGATGTGCTCTCGGGCTTTAATGCGCTATCTGGCCTGCAGGTGTTGACTGGTGGTCTTGGCGGTGTGGGTGCGGGCGGTGTGATAGACAGCACCGGAAGGAACTCGTCTCATGCCTCTGGTACTGTGGATGGCGCTGCTGCTGCTGGTGATGGTGACAGAGGAGGGGGAGCAGGAGGAGGAGCAGGTGGAGCAGGAGGAGCGGCGGGAACGGGGGAAGCGGCGGACACAGGAGGAATAGGCACGCGAGGCAGGCAAAGGGCCAAGCCCAACCAGAATGCACGTGGTGGTGGAGGGTCGTGGGTGCTCCCCCCCTCCCTCTCGCCCCAACTTACCTTTGACTTTGCTTCCTTCCGCCATGCTCTTGCGATTGTTGACGGGAGGAACGGGCTGGGCTTAGGGTATGGAGTGCAGGGAGGGTACGGAGAGCAGTGGGGGCAAAAAGGGCAGAGAAAGCAGAAGGGGCAGGGAGGCGGGGTTAGGCGAAGAGGGGATGTGGTTACCAACGGGACTGTTACAAATAGCCCCGTTACCTGTGGTAGTAGCGAAACTGCTGCTGCTGCTAGTAGTGCTGACGTGGCACATAGGGATTACCATTTCGTTTCGTCTGCCACTCTGATTGTGGTCCCCACCACGCTCGTCAGCCATTGGCTGACGCAGATCTCCCGCCACGTGGCGCCGGGGGCTCTGCGCCTATGTGGAGAAAGACGCTGGGGCAGCCCTGCGTCCTGCGTCCGGACGCAGCGTCCGGACGCAAAGACGCAGGACGCACCCTGGAAAAATTTTCGGGCAGACCGAGATTTTTTTTTTTTCGCGATCGCGAAATTGACATTCGCGATTTCGTCGCGAATGTCAATTTCGCCGAAATTCGACACCCCCCAAGCAAATTCGACCCCCAAAACCAGCCATCTAATTCACCCCTAACCCCCTCCCCTTTTTGCAAAATTGATTTGGAAATCCAACCCCTCTCCACCACTCCACAACTAGGAAACCCAACCTTTGTGGTCCACCACCCCCACAAAGCCCATTTAGTTCATGAAACCTCTCATTTGTGCTCCCTTTTCTCACAACCCAATTCTCTTTCAAAAACCCTAGTGGTTTTAGCTCCTTTCCGCGCACCACCGTTATGGCTAGCTCCTTGTGTTCGCGACCTTGTGTTCGTTGCGCACAACTGGAACGTTGTGCACAACCACCACAAGGGTGCGGCGGGTGCGGGGCCGAGTGGGGAAGTCAGGAAGGCGGGAATAGTGGAGGGGAACATTCCCCCCCGACCCCTTCCCGAGGGGTACAAGCTTGAGGAGGATGGAGAGGTGGAGGTGGATGAGGATGACCTCACCTTCGACGAGTACAAGGAGCAGGAGGATTTGGAGAAGGAGGAGGAGAAGGGGATGGAGAGCGAGGAGGATGAGTGATGCATGTTAGTTAGTGGTAGTATGCATGCATGCTAAACAACCCTTGGACTAATTGTGATTATGGAAATTTGGGGCTCACCTTCATGTTCTATTGTTGTGGCTGAAATTTTGTTGTTGAGGAGAAATTTTGCTATGAAAGTGTGTTCCCCCCCCCCCCCCCCCCCCCCTCTTACCCCCTCTTCCCTCTGCCCTATAACTTTTTTTTTGGCTGCCCAGGGGGTTTTTTTTGGCTGCCCGGACCTGCGTCTTTTGCTGCGTCTCGGGGGCCCTAAACTAGCGTCCAGGACGCTGGACGCGTCTTTCTCCACATAGCTCTGCGCGTGTGTGTGTACGACGGGGCCAATCAGAAGGCGCCAGCTGTCCACAGCCTGGCATGGGATTATGATGTGGTGGTAACCACGTTTAGCAGGCTGAGTGTGGAATGGGGGGGAGGGGAGGAGAAGGAGATGGGATGGGGAGGGGAAGAGGGGGATTGGGCGAGTGAGGGTGAGGGGTCGGGGAGTGAAAGTACTTGGTGGGATTCTGAGGAGGAAGAGAGGGGAGAGGAGGAAGAGGAAGGTGAGATACAAGGGGAAGAAGAGAGGGGAGGAGAGGGGGATGCGGGGACAAGGGGACATGTGGAGCGAGATAAAAAAGTTAGGGAGGGAAGAATTCAAAAGACTGGAGGAGTTACATTGGGAGAGCAGAGCAGGAAGGGGGTCAAGAGAAGGTGGGATGGACAAGCAGATGAGAGGAACATTAATCAACAGTTGAGTGCTAGGGAACGCAGTCCCAGATACAGACAAACAGAGCCACTTGGATGCCCGTCTCATGGATGGCAGGACGGCGGGCGGCGGCCTCAGCGGGTGGCGAGGAAACGGGTCCGGCTGGGAGTGAAGGAGAGCCGTCGGATCGCGTCGCCGCTGCTGCGCATCCATTGGCTGAGAGTGATTCTGGACGAGGGGCACACGCTGGGAGCCAGCCTGGCAGCCACGAACAAGCTGCGCATGGCCATGGCTCTGAGGGCTGCGAGGAGGTGGATTCTCACTGGCACTCCCACTCCCAGCACCCCCACCAGCCAGGTGAGTTGCTTCTGCGTCCCCCACTACTCCCCACTACTCTTCACCATACCCTACCCCTTTCAACATGACCACCAGCCTGGCAGCCACCAACAAGCTGCGCATGGCTGTGGCGCTCAGGGCTGCGAGGCGGTGGATACTAATGGGGACACCCACCCCTAGCGCCCCCACCAGCCAGGTGTGTCACCCCCTCCCATCACTCCCACCATGGCCACCGCTCCTTCCAGCCTGGCAACCACCAACAAGCTGCGCATGGCTGTGGCGTTGAGAGTGGCACGGCGGTGGATACTAATGGGCACGCCCACTCCCAGCACTCCCACCAGCCAGGTAAGTCGCTCCTGCGCCTCTTACCACTCTCCACCACTCCCTACCACTTTCAACATGACCACCAGCCTGGCAGTGACTAACAAACTGCGCATGGCTGTGGCATTGAGAGCGGCACGGAGGTGGATTCTCACAGGCACGCCCACTCCCAGCACTCCCACCAGCCAGGTAAGTCGCTCCTGTGCCCCTTACCACTCTCCATCACTCCCTATCACTTTCAACGTGACCACCAGCCTGGCAGCCACGAACAAGCTGCACATGGCTGTGGCTCTGAGGGCGGCAAGACGGTTGATTCTCTCTGGCACGCCTACCTCTAGCACTCCCACCAGCCAGGTGAGTCGCTCCTGCGTCCCGCACCACTCCCCACCACTCTCCACCATACCCTACCGCTTTCAACATGACCACCAGCCTGGCAGCGACTAACAAGCTGCGCATGGCTGTGGCATTGAGAACAGCCAGGGGGTGGATTCCCACGCACAGGGCACACCCACTCCCAGCACCCCCACCAGCCAGGTCAGTCGCTCATATACAGCCCATATACACTAGCCCATATACACGAGCCCATATACGGCCGGCAGCAGGGCGTGTGGGAGTGTCTACCGCACTTCTCACTCTCATCCCTCCCTCTGCTTGTCGTCTATTTCTCTCCCTCCGTGCAGGTTGCCCATCTCTTCCCGCTGCTCTCCTTCCTGCACGAGCCCATATACGGCCGGCAGCAGGGCGTGTGAAAGAGGCAATTTTACTTCCCACTCTTATCCCCCCTCCGGCTTTCCTCTGTTTTTCTTCCCTTGCAGGTGGCACACCTCTTCCCGCTGCTCTCCTTCCTGCACGAGCCCATATATGGCCGGCAGCAGGGCGTGTGGGAGCGGGCAGTTCAGAAGCCATTTGAAGCAGGCAGGCCCGAGGGCAGGCAGCGACTGGTGCAGGTGCTGACTCGGTGCATGTTCGTGGGGCAGAAGGAGGGCGTGCTCTCCATCCCGCGCTGCGACAGGAAGGTGTGTTAGGGAGGGGGTGCAGGTTTGATAACCTGCGCTGCGGGGAGGTAGCAACTGGGGCAGGCAGCGACTGGTGCAGGTGCTGACTCGGTGCATGTTCCTGGTGCAGAAGAAAGACGTGCTCTCCATCCCGCGCTGCACCAGGAAGGTGAGGATCCATCCATGCCGCTGATTGGAGGTGGGTTAGTGGGGGCAGTGAGGGGTTGGTAGGCCCCTGAGGACAGGCAACACGTGGTGCAGGTGATGACCGACCCGAAGTTTGTGAAAAAACGTTCAGAGCAACCTGTGTCCGTTTTCTCACACGCTCTTCCTTGTCTCTCCCTTCCTCTGTGCCGAACCTACTCTCCAGGTGAAGCTGCTCTCCTTCTCCCCGCAGCACGCCGCCTCCTACAACGAATTTTTCGAGACCGTTCAGCGAAACCTGCTGCTGGCCGACTGGATGGACCCCTCTCACGAGGAGTCTCTCTTAAACCCCCAGAACTTAAAGCAGGCCAAGCAGACACTCAACAACGTGCGCCTCTCCTGCTGCGTCGCCGGGCACATGGAAAGTTACGACCTGCCCGGGGTTATTGACGAGACCATGCAGCAGCTGGTGCAGGGCGGGCTGGAGCCTGGCTCGGGAAGGTTTGAGGAGATTCGGGCAGCTTTGAAGGGAGGATGCTGCTGTGAAAGGTGGGTGGAGGAAGAATGGTTTTTTTCCTGGCTAACGAGTTCTTCTGACCACTTAACCTCTTTCCACTCACACTCCCTCACTCACTCTTTCAACCATTCTTTTCCTAATTTCAGGTGTGGCGAGTGGGTGCGTCTCCCCATAGGCACCCCCTGCGCGCACCTCCTGTGCATCACATGTGTGGCAACGGACAAGCACGCGTGCGCCATGACGGGCTGTTGTCCTCTCTTTCCCTCGCACTCTCGCCTCTCACTCCTGACAATCCATCCCCATCTCCCTTTCCTCCCTCAGGTGTGGCGAGTGGGTGCGTCTCCCCATAGTCACCCCCTGCGCGCACCTGCTGTGCATCACGTGCGTGGCAACCGACAAGCACGCGCCGGGCTGTTCGAGACGGTACCGCATGCAGGAGCCCAAGGACATGAAACGTCCTGAGAATGCCAACCCCAAGTGGAGCATGCCACAAGACCTAATCGAGCTGCAGCCATCGTATGAACAGGTGGGGTCCGTTTAGGGTTGTACATTCTAGGAGGAGGGAGGGAGGGAGGGTGGGGGTGTGCCCTGCAGTACCGCATGCAGGAGCCCAAGGAGATGAAGCGGCCTGAGAATGCAAACCCAAAATGGAGTGTGCCTCAGGATTTGATCGAGCTGCAGCCGTCGTATGAACAGGTGGGAGCAGTTGTTGCTGCTAGGACTAAGGGTGGGTCGATGTGTGTAGTACCGCATGCAGGAGCCCAAGGATATGAAGCGCCCTGAGAATGCGAATCCAAATGGAGCGTGCCGCAGGACCTGATCGAGCTACAGCCGTCATACAAACAGGTGGGGTTCTTTTCTCTTGGAGTGTTAGAGTATGCGTCACGTGTGGGCATTTGTTGTTGTTAGGACAGGCGGGGTGTGCCTGGTGCCGGCGGTACCTCATGCAGGAGCCCAAGGACAGGAAGGGAGCACAGACTCCCAACCCCAAGTGGAGTTGGAATCTCAGAAGTGATCCACTCGACTTGGGCTCCATGCAGGAGCGTCAAGACCTGATCGTGGTGCAACCATCGTGGGTCCCAATCGAGGGTCCCAATCCTCGTTGCCCCCTCGTTCTCCCATTCCTTGTGCGCAGAGGGAGTGTCATCTGGAGTGGCAGACGACAGCCAGCACCAAGGTGGATTACCTTCTCTCGCAGCTGCGCCTGCTCGCTCCCATTCTCCACTTCTCTTTCACCTTTCCTCGTTCTCCTCCCCCCCTTCCTCTCAGAGGGAGTGGCATCTGGAATGGCAGGCGACAGCCAGCACCAAGGTGGATTACCTTCTCTCGCAGCTGCGCCTGCTCGCTCCCATTCTCCACTTCTCTTTCACCTTTCCTCGTTCTCCTCCCCCCCTTCCTCTCAGAGGGAGTGGCATCTGGAATGGCAGGCGACAGCCAGCACCAAGGTGGATTACCTTCTCTCGCAGCTGCGCCTGCTCGCTCCCATTCTCCACTTCTCTTTCACTTTTCCTCGTTCTCCTCCCCACCTTCCTCTCAGAGGGAGTGGCATCTGGAATGGCAGGCGACAGCCAGCACCAAGGTGGATTACTTGCTCTCGCAGCTGCGCCTGCTCGCTCCCCCTCCTCCTCCTGCCCCTCCTCTTCCCGGCAGTGAGCTGTCTGCCCCTCCTCTCTCCACTGCATCACCTCCACTATACCCACCTGTAGGACCACCACTGTTGTCACATTCAATACAGTCACCATCAGCAGCAGCACAGCCACGCACAGTACCACACACTGTGACGCCCTCACCACCATTGGGAGATTCAAATGAGCCGATGGATAGTTGCGCGGAGTCAGAGCACGGAGAGGGGGCAGCAAATGGCTGTGCTGCCCAGGCCATGGGCACAAGGCCCTGTGGCTGCTGGGGGGCTTGGATGGGAGAGGGACGGGTGTGGCGGGGAGAGGGACGGGTATGGCAGGGAGAAGGGGAGATACGATGGCGAGAAGGCGATAGTGTTCACGCAGTTTCTGGAGCACATCGCACTGCTGGAGGCGCAGCTCACACTCGCCGGTGTCAACTTCGCTGGCCTTTACAACCCCAGGCCTCAATCCGTCAAGGTCTGTCGCATACCATTTCATCAGTCCCATTTCGTCAGTCCCATTTCGTTCACAGTCAGACTCATTTTGGTCAAAGGCTGGACCCATCACGTGAAGATCGTGTGCAGCCTGAGTGAGCTCGCCATGTTCGCCATGTGAGCATGTTCTCCTTCGGCCTGCTTCTTTTGTATCAGCCCTCGACCCACTGTGTGAAGGTCATTCACCCATCTGTGATCGTGCTTTGCCTCATGCCCTCTTCATCCTTTCACTATCTATCCATTTGTCCTTGCCTGTACGCATGTGATGTGATGTGATGTGATGTGATGTGATGTGATGCATGCATGTGGGTATGTGATGTGATGTATGCATGCATGTGGGTATGTGATGTGATGTATGCATGTATGTGGGTATGTGATGTGATGTATGCATGCATGCATGCATGCATGTACATATCCATATGCTACTCATGCATGTGTGACTATAACGAGAGCAGATGCAGGAGCTGCTGCGCTTCCAGCACGACCCGGCGTGCCGCGTGCTTCTAATGAATGGCACGGGGTCGCCCGGTCTCGACCTCTCCTTTGTGTCCCGCGTCTTCCTCATGGAACCCGTGTGGGACCCCAGGTACAAACTCTGTGTGTGTGTGTGTTGTGTCAAGCCATGCTATGTGTAGAGTGCTGTCATGCGCCATGCCATGTGTCGCGCGTGTTCCTCATGGAACCCGTATGGGACCCCAGGTACATGCTACGTGTGGGTGTGATGCGTCAAGCCATGTTATATCTAAAGTGGTGTCATGCAGCATGCCATGTGACACGCGTCTTCCTCAGGGAGCCCGTGTGGGACCCAAGGTGTGTTTTATCCCATGTGTTACTTCCTTGTTTCCATCACAGCCACTAGCACGTGGTACTCACGGCATCACATGTCCTGGTTTCCATGTGGGCAGCTAGTTCACCCATGCCCACATGTCCACCGTCCCAAACCCCCACGCCACCCCCATCCGACCCCACTTCCCCACCCCCGTCCGCGGCACTCTTCTCCCACGCAGTGTGGAGGAGCAGATGGTGTCTCGAGCGCATCGCATGGGCGCCTCTCGGCCAATCACGGTGGAGACATTGGCCATGGCAGGCACGCTGGAAGAGCACATGCTGCACATACTGCAGGTAGGTTCGGTGCAGGTAGGTTCGGTGCAGGTAGGTCTGGTGCAGGTACATCTGGTAAAGTCACCCCAAGAAATGGCCCGTTTGTTTCGGCGCAGTGCAGGCATGTCTAGTGGAGGTATGTCTTGTGCAAGCACGAGAGGTGACAACCTGCTTGCACCTCTGAACCTCCCCTCCTTCCCCACGTCTCCTTTCTGCATTCTTTGTTCTCCTGCCTGCGCTCATTTCCCCTCCCTCCCGACGTCTCCTCTCCATCCCGCAGCGCCTGCCCGACAGCGGGGCGCAGGCGAAGCAGACGCAGGCAAGGGAGGCAGTGGCACGCAACGCCGTCGTGCTGGCACTGAAGCTCGTCTGCCCTCCCCTCCTTCCCGGTGCTTCCCCTCTTCATTGCAGCGTCTGCCCGACCGCGGGGCGCAGGCAAAGCAGCGCCAAGCAAGGGAAGCCGTGGCACGCAACGCCGTCGTGCTGGCACTGAAGCTCGTCTGCCCTCCCCTCCTTCCCGGTGCTTCCCCTCTTCATTGCAGCGTCTGCCCGACCGCGGGGCGCAGGCAAAGCAGCGCCAAGCAAGGGAAGCCGTGGCACGCAACGCCATTCTGCTGGCGCTAATCCTTTAACCCCCTCTCCCATCACGTTGCTTCCCCTCTTCTTCACAGCATCTGCCTGACAGTGGGGCGCAGGCGAAGCAGAGGCAAGAAAGGGAAGCAGTGGCATGCAATGCTATTTTGCTCGCCCTTCTAACCCACCTCTCCTTTTTCTCTTCGGTGCAGCGCCTGCCCGACAGCGGAGCGCAGGCAAAGCAGATGCACGCAAGGGAGGCCGTGGCACGCAACGCCATTCTGCTCGCCCTTCTTATTCTCCCTTCTTAGCCGTGTTTCCAATCCCTTGGTTGCAGTGTCTGCCCGACAGCGGGGCGCAGGCGAAGCAGCGCCAAGCAAGGGAAGCAATGGCGTGCAACGCCATTCTGCTGGCGCTTCCAATCCTCACCTCCTCCCGTCCTCCCCTTGCTTCCCCGTGTTCCCCCTCTTCGGTGCAGCGTCTGCCTGACAGTGGAGCGCAGGCGAAGCAGCGCCAAGCAAGGGAGGCCGTGGCATGCAATGCCATTCTGCTTGCTCTGAAGCTCGTCCGCACCGCCGACTCCTCCCTGCCACTCTCTCCCTCCAACACCACCTCCCCGGCGAAAACCCTCTCCTCCTCCCATCCCCTTTCCCCCGCCCAACCCCTCACCTCCTTCTCCCAAGCCTTCTCCCCCACCAACCCCCTCTCCTCCACCCACCCCCTCAGTTCCCCTACCCCCCTGTCGTCCCGCCAGTCCCTCCTTCCCTCCAACCTCTCATCTCCCCTTCTCTCTCCCAGCCAGCAACTTCCCTGCAGCCTCTTGCCCCTGCCAGCCCTCTCACTCCACCCCTTCCCCCAACTGCTCGGTCGGCAGTCAACAGGCGCTGCTTGCCTCTCGCCCAAGGCCCATCGGGTGCTGATCAGAACAGGTCAACCTTTGTAGCAGGCACATGTGAGGGAGGTACAGGTGATGCTAGAGAGGGTGTATGCGAGGGAGGTACAGCTGGTGTTGCCACGGAGGACACATGTGAGGGAGGTACATCTGAGGGAGGTACAGCTGGTGCCACCGGTGAGGCTGTAGGCAACAGCATGGTTCCTTTTCTTGGCACTGCCGCGGCAGGAAGTGCAGCCAGGGCAGCAGAGGCACGGGCAGGGGGTGTGGCAGGGGTCATTGCTGCTCACACTTCACATTCTTCTGCTGCTTGTGGTAGATGGGAAGGGGAGCATGGTGCATATACAGGGCAGGCAGGAGGAGGATTTCTTGGAGGGGAGAATGGAGGTGCATGGGAGGAAGGGCATGCAGAGGAAGAGATTGGTCCATGCAAAGAAGAGCTTTCAAATCCTGGAATGGAAATGGCTGGTTCTCAAGTAGAAAAATGGGGAGCCACTGCCACCACCCAACTAAGGGGGGAGAGGATTGAGGTGCCAGCTTTGGAAGGAGCAGAAGGCAAGGTGAATCGGAGACTGAGGGTGGTGAGGTTTGCAGATGAAGGCATGCAACCAGAGCTGCTGGCCACGGTGCTCAGACCAGCAGCTGAATGAGTCAGCACACCAGCTCCAGCACGCTACCTTTCAAAACCACCTCAATATTAGAATGTTTGCTATATAATGATAAATTTGTGCTATGCTGTGTTGTATGTAAATGTATATAGCTCATGCATGCCCACTGCCCGGCTTGAAAATGCTGGGACAGTGTTGCTAAAAGCCTGGCTGTAGCTGGTCTTTTCAATGCCAGTGTATTGTGGGCTTCACGTGTAGTTGGCAATGACATGGCAAGTGGCAAACCTAACAAATGGTGGTAGAATTGTGAGGTGGCAGTGTGCAACGCCAAGGGAGAAAGGTATCCATTGGAGGGCAGCGAGGGTGAGGCAGGGCAAGGAGAGCGAGGCAAGCAAAAGCAGCCGCCCACAAGGCAAGTCGCACACGAGAGGCGAGGCGCTGCTGACTGGCATGACTTGCAGATGCTGATGTGGCTCACTTGTCTGCTCGGGGGTGGGGAGAAACAGAGACACAGTCAGTCATCCTCCTCCTCATCCTCCTCATCCTCCTCATCTTCCTCACCCTTCTCACCCTCTTCATCCTCCTCCTCATCATCCTCATCCTCCTCCGCATCCTCCTCATCCTTCTCACCCTCTTCATCCTTTTCCTCATCCTCCCCATCCTCCCAATCCTCCCCATCCTCCCCATCCTCCCCATCCTCCCCACGATACACTGTTACACGAGACAACCTCGCAATCACAGCATACCACGATTCGCCTTCCTTTTTTCCACCCCAATCCACGGCAGTCTTGAACTGCGCTTCTGTGATGAAAACAAGCGCAATGGGCAACTCAACTCCTGAGAGGACGTGCGCACTTTCCGAGGCGAATCCAACGTCTGCCTTCCGGAAGAATCCGATGTATTTCCCTTTAACTCGAACTCTGTACCTGTCTTCGCCCTCCTCCGACGCCCCATAGATACCACTATCGATTTTTGAGCGAAGTATCCGACCGAACACCCGCTGACTCGGGTCGTGACATCGCTGCTCCTCCTCCAAATTCAATGTCGAAAACCACTCTGTTCGGCCCTTGTGTGTAACTACTTTAATCCCTTCTGGAACTTGCTGATGCTGTTGCTCTCCTCTTCCTCCCCCTTCCCCTCCCACTCCTCCTTCACCACCCCCTCTTCCCCTCCCATTAATCTGCTCCTGCTGCTGCTGTTGTTGAGGCTGTTGCTCTCCCCCTCCTCCCCTTTCCCCTCCCAGTCCTTCACCTTCTCTCCTCTCCCTCCCACATCTCTGCCCCCTTCCCTTCTTAGACTTTCTCCCTCCTACTCCACCCCCTTCCCCTCCCACTTCCACTCTCAGCTCTTGCTGAAGATGCCTTCTTGTTTCCCCTTCCCCTCTCATTTCTCCTTCCCTTTCCCCACTCTCTGCCGAAACCTCTTCTCCTCCCACCTCCCTACTCTCCAGTCCCTCTTCTCCTCCCACCTCCCTACTCTCCAGTCCCTCTTCTCCTCCCACCTCCCTACTCTCCAGTCCCTCTTCTCCTCCCACCTCCCTACTCTCCAGTCCCTCTTCTCCTCCCACCTCCCTACTCTCCAGTCCCTCTTCTCCTCCCACCTCCCTACTCTCCAGTCCCTCTTCTCCTCCCACCTCCCTACTCTCCAGTCCCTCTTCTCCTCCCCCTCCCCAGCCATTTACAACCCTTCCTGCTCCCCCTTCTTCGGCTACTGCCACTGTTGCTCCTCCTGCTGCTGCTCTCACTGTTCCTGCTGCTGCAGTTGTTGCTGCTACACCTGCTGCTGCTGCACCTGCTGCTGCTGTGACTGCTGCAAAGGCTGCCTGACCTCCCATAGCTGTCGCTATTAATGACCGCGCTAATATTGCATTTGTTCTAACTGTTCTTGCTTCTGCTGCCCTACCTTCTGCTGAGTCTCCTGCTGCTGATGCGGAAGGGGCAGCACTGGAAGGGGCAGCAGTGGAGGCTGCTGCTGCGGCTACTGCTGCTGCTGCTGCATCTTCATCTGATGCCGTTCTGACGCTCCCCTGCCCCCCCACCGCCCTCGCCCCCGCCTCCACCTGGTGCTCCTGCTGCCCCACTGCCGCCCTCTCCTCCGCCTCCTGCTCCTGTTGCACAGCACCAGCTGACAGGCACGCCCCCGCATCCTCCTCCGCGCCTGCTGCTGCTGTTGATGTTGCTGTTGATGCTGCTGTTGCCTGGACAGAAATAGAAGAGGGACAAAAGAACAGGTTGGAAGGGGGAATAGAAAGGGTTAGGGAAGGTCAGGCCCTGAGGTCAAGTCCAACGAAGCTGAGAATCCACGTATCGGCGGGCCAGAAGACACCTTCTCACCTGGGGACTGCTGCATAGTGTTGGAGCCGGGACTGGAGCTCCCTTGGCAGCAGCCGCTCAACGTCTAGCATTGCACTGCACTGTACCTCATGAGGTCGTCGCATAGTACACGTACCCTAGGAGCCCCTCGTGGAGTTCCCTTGGGAGCACTGCTTGCCTGTTACAAGTAGCGGCCAAGGAAGCTCGCCTGTGTCCCTTTGCTTTGTCACCTAGATTCGACTTACCTGACTTGCATGCTTGCATCTTTGGCTCTTTCCGAAGATGCGCAGAAAGACAAATGGTGGAAGGGGGGTTGTGAAGGGGGAGAAGTTCCCTGGCCAATCTTTCAAGCTCCTGTACACAGCTGTTGCACGCCTCGTATCTCCCCCTGTTATCCCTCACGTCCTCCTCACTGCCTTCCTCGCGTCCACCACCACCCCCTCGCTCCTGGCATTCCTTGGCTCACCTCGCCTTGTGGGTGGTGCTGCTCCTCCATCATGTTTCTCCCAACCTCCACATGCTCCTGCTGCGGCCGCCCTGCCTCCTCCTCCTCCTGCTGTTGCTACGGTAATGGCAAGGGAATGTGTGTGGGCGGGGCGGGGCGGGGGGGGTTGTAAGTGAAAGCATTCCAGCAGATGGGGCGGATAGAGGTTTAAGAAGGAGGTGGAGTGTACAGGCTCCTACAGAGCTCATGGCATTCCTTGGCTCTCCTCGCCTTGTGGGTGGTGCTGCTCTTCCATCATGTCCCTCCCCTGCTCACCTAAACCATAAACCCTCATCCCACCTTCCTTCCCTATCGCCCTCCCCAACCACCTTAACCCAGCCCGGCTCCCCCATCCCCCTCTCCAACCCACCACGTACAGCTTTCCCTCTCCCACCACTCCCCTCCCTCTCCCTGCTGCCCGACCCCCTATCCTATTCCCCCTCACTGAGCACACCTCTCACCACCTCCCTCGTAGCTCCCGCTCCCATGTCATTACAATCCCATCCTGCTGCCCTGCGCTCCTCCCGTGAGGTCTCGTGCCGTGCTCGGGCGATCGGCGCGTACATGACTAGCGCGCAAGAGACGCAGAGCGCGGAGAACGACGCTCGCCGGCACCAGCATGAAGCTCGGAGGATCGGTGACGTGGGGAACGGCGCGCAGGCGAATCGGGCCGATGAGAGCGACTGTGTTTGCCATGCGGCGCAACTTCCGCGGCGCGGGCAGGTGGCCCATCGCGCGCAGACCTACCTTGGGGAGGTGGCGCCACCAAACCCCCGACTTGGGGACAAGGCGGGATCGGTGCAAGCTCATACTTCCGAGCAGGTTCGGATTATGCAGCTCGAGGAGGAGGCCACTGCGCGCTATCAGCAGCTCTCTCCGCCGGTCTGGCATTCATGACCACGGACGAGGGGGCAATTGCCAGTGTCAGCGTGAGTGGCGCGCCAAGCAGCAACCTTGAGGAACACGCGAGCACTGCAGCAAGGTGGAGGGTCCGCGAGACGCGGACGAGGACGAGGGCAGCGTGGAGCATCGCAACAGCTTCCAGAGAGCCGTTGCTGAAGAGGAATATACAGCCCCTCATATACCAGCTCAGAGTAGTGGAGGGCAAGATCCATCACAGGAAGATGAAGCACGACGGATCTGGCCAACGCACTGAATAGTATCACCCGCCAGGCTATAGTCTCAGCCCTTGAGAAATTTACACTCAGGGCGCTTTTGCCCCTAGAGTGCCTTTCCTATGGCCAGCCGTCGTCCCTGCTGCACTGCACCTTGATGCCAGATACGAAAGCCCACCTTTTGTTCGTAGCCGCCATCCACCCGGCGCTGAAAGCAACAGCAGAGGCCCATCCGTCTGTGCTCTGCCTCGCCTACGCCGATGCTGTGACATTCATCCGCGAGCCTTCACCGGCAGCAGCAGCTTCCAAACACTTCACTGACAGGGTGGTGACACTGGGATGGGGCTAGACAAGACTACAACCCCGCCAAGTGTGCTGCACGGAGCTGCACACGCCCACCCACAGAAACCTTACCTGATAGGGTCCCCTTTCGCGAGGAGGGAGTGCGGATGCTGGGCAGCAGCATCGGCACAAGGAGAGGCGCTGCTAACTTCCTTAACGAGCAGCTGAAGGCCTTTGCACTGCTCTCCTGGACTGAGCGACAGCTGGCGTCCTTACTGTTACTGCTCGCCCGCTTCTTCTTGCGTCGAGCATCTTACACGGACAACCCCCCTCCATCTCTTACCACGGGAGGAGTCATCACAGCGGGGACAGAAGCTGCTAACGGCCCTACTCACAGCGTGGCATTCGCCCCCTCCACAGAGATGCAGAACAGACACGCATATGGAAGCAAGCTCCAATCCCCCCCTCCCTTGAGCGGTGGGACTCTCGGACCCTACGGTGGAAGGAGTACAGCTTCTTGGCAGTTTCTCACAGGCGGAACGCTTACTCACCTCCATGCCGCTGCTGCCAGATGGACCCCTAGCACGAGTTCAGCATCAGATGCCAGGGCCGCAGGCTAACCTGACCCGCTCCACGCCTGGCTCCAAGAGTGTGAACAAGCCCTACCTGCCTGCAGTGCAGACGCACGGGAGCTACTACAGAAGGAGAGGCTGGAGCCGTCAGGGAAGAACTGCAACATGCACTTACACTGAGCGTACAAGGGAGCAGATTCGCAGATCAGGTCGAGGCGTCCCGGAGAATGCCGTCGATACTTACAGGTGCTGTTTAGATTTGTGGCGTCACACTCACAGCCCTCACGCTTCTAGACGCCTGCAATGTGCACCACCCGAGAGGAATGGCAGAGGAGCAGCGTGTATGGGAACAAGCATCGCTACCGCCATCCCTCGGGGGCCGGGCCTGACGGACCCCTCGGTCGAAGGCAGATATAGTTTCCTCGCCAGTTTTGTGCAAGCAATGAACCTTTTCGCCTCCCTACCAGGCCCCGCGGGCAACCACCTGACTGGCACCTTGGCACGGCCTGCACCTGACAGCACAGAACATCACCTGCTGCAGAGATGGCTCCTTGAATGCGAGGCCTCATTGGGCGAGGAGGCCAGGGGGCTGCTGGCTGCAGAACGGACCGCCCCAGACAACAGACTACAGCACTGCCTTGCCCTCATCATCCAGGGCAGCTGCTTCGCCGCGCAGCTAGTGGTCTAAAGGCAGATGGAGCTGAACCCGCTGTCAGGCCACATGCAGCGGCTTCTTTCTTTAACTGGATATGGTGCGGGGGACTGGCTGCTCGCCATCCCGTACATGCATGCCTTCCGCCTCAGCCCCAAGCTGTTTGCCTTCGCACTCCAATTCCGGCTAGGACTGCCTCTTCCCGTACCTGACCGCTGCGACTGCCGTGACAGGACCGCCATCCTGGACACGGGACACGGACGGACTGACACACACAACGGAATCAGAGACGAATGTATACGCATGGCTCAGGACGCGGGCTTTACGGTGCACAAGGAGACAACAGCTTTCTGCCCCGTGGATAAGCAAAATGGAGCGTGACCCTGCAGAGAGCCCAAGCCAACGCCCTCAGGGATAAGACCCATGAGGCTCTTACCGCGGATGTGCTAGGGCTGCAGGGTCCGTTCACTCCACGGAGCAAGGGCCAGCTGTACCAACTGCTAGACGACCCCTCCGGCCACTAGGGCCGGAAGGGAAGGGGCGGCTGTAGTTGTGTTAGGCTACTAGATTGCTTCTGTAGCTTTGTTGTGTGTGGTTTATGACCTTACCATGTGTGTACCTTGGTGATATTAATACAACGGACCGTTCGAGAGAGGCTTACAGCTCCCCTGCAGCCTACGTGGAGTTCGTCCCCCTCGCCGTTGAGACTTACGAGTGCCCCTGCGCGGAAGTTCCCAAGTTCTTGAAGCTCCTGGCTCACACGGCGGCGCGCAAGCTCTTCAATGCCGAACCCAGAACCTACCAGGAGGAATCGAGTGAGACGCGAGCAGAGCAAGAGCACCTGCCTCAAGGCGCACACTCACATCTTCCACCACCTCTCTCTGCTCCTCCAATGTCCTCTTCATTTTTTCCTTCTTCTGCCTCCACTTGCCGCTCGAACTCTGCAGCTGCGCTTTTAACTGTTCCACCTCCCTGCTCAACCGCTCGACCGTGCGCTTGCGCTCCTCTGCCAACAACCCCCGCGACTCCGCCAGCTTAGACAACTGCAGGAAGGGAAAGATGAAGGCAGGTAGGTGAAATATCAGGAATGTTAGAGAGGTGGCGAGAGGGGATAATGTTAGAGGGTAGGTGGGAGGGGGGTGAGTGAGTGGGAAGCTGTTGAGAAGGGAGCATATGAAGAAGTAAAGAGGTTTGTGCCACTTACCAGTCTCTCATTCTTCTCAGCCGTTTCTCGCTACTCCTCCAACTGACATTGCAACTCGTCAACCCTCGCTTGAACCTGGTAAATGAAACAACCAAGCAGGTGAGTGTGGGGCAAGTAAGAGGAGGGTAAGTGAGAAGGGGGTAGGTGAGAAGGGGGTAGGTGAGGGATGGGCAAGTGAGAAGGAAGCAGTTCAGGGCCAACGAGCATTGACGCCAAGCCAACCACCCGTCTGATGGCGTCCTAGGCTACCGCACTCATAATTTCAGAAAAAAAATAGGCAAAAGAAGTGAATAAGCACTTCACATCAGCAAGCACACGCACGCATGCTATCAGCGCAATGTTCTCTAAAAGCAAACGCGCCACGCCAATCAATCAACGTGACGACGCGAGTACAAACATTGTGGCACACCTCATAATGTTTATCGCAGACTCCTAGAAATGCCCCTTCAGCAAACACCGCCCGATTGTCGAGTCTAACTCTCTCGTCGTAGTCGGCTCTTAGCAGCCTTTGCAACTTCTTGGCCTTGTCGCCTCCCTCTTTCAACCAATCTGACAGTCCTTCCTCTTCATTCCAATCTGACAGGTGCGAAGGAAAAATAGTGGATGGAGATGAGACAGTGCTTGCTCCATATGCCACTCCCCATGCCACTCCCCTCCTCATGCCACCCCACTCCACGCAACCCCCTTCCACATGCCACTCCCACACTCCCATCCGCCTACCACATACCTCGGTCAGCATCTATCAGCTTGTGTAGTGTCTCGTTGTCCGCCATATTTGCCTCTATTTGCTTCTTCTGCTGGTCTAGCAATGTCAAAAAATCTTTCGAATCGGACGCTGGGAAGAGGGCAGACATAGAGTAATTAAAAGATACAGCTGAAATCATGAAAAAATATCGTTCATAGAAGCTACATGAACAGTCCATAATTTGAGAAAGGGGCGAAATGTAAATGAAGAGGGGGAGCATGGAGTGTTGTGCCAAAGGGAAGGAAAATGGGAGGGGGGGATGAGGCTGCGGTTATGGCTCGCCGTGCCAAAGAGCAAGAGGAGCTGCAGGCACAGTGCACTGTGCCAAAATGACAGTGAGGGTTGAGGGTACTGTGAGCAATGACAAAATGACTGGGGGGAACTGAGGGTACTGTGAGCAATGACAGAATGACTGGGGGAACTGAGGGTACTGTGAGCAATGACAGAATGACTGGGGGAACTGAGGGTACTGTGAGCAATGACAGAATGACAGGGAGGGACTGAGGGTACTGTGAGCAATGACAGAATGACAGGGAGGGACTGAGGGTACTGTGAGCAATCACAAAATGACAGATGCAGTGCGGGCACAGTGAGCCGTGACAAAATGGCTGGGGGGCATGAGGGAGGTGGCGCACTCACCACGTGAGTTGTTCGTGCTGCTGGTGCTACTTCTGGTGCGGGCGCTGACGCTGCTATTGACAAATATGCTCTCCTCACTCGTGCGGATTTTGACGAAGGTGCCATCCCCCTCGTCATGCCCCTCGTGGGCTACAGCAGCAGCAGTAGCTGTACGTGCAGCTGAATGTTCCCCGCCCCCGCCTCCATCCCCTCCGTGTACGCCTGGTGGGAGGAGAGAGGGGCAAGGAGGGACGTACACGAGGTGAATGGCATGGAAAAGGAGGACAGCACCCGCGCTTTCATAATCCATCTCCACCGTGTATGTCTGAGGGAGGTGAGGGGTATGGGAAGGCGGGCATGGGGGTGAGTGGCGTGGGAAGAATGACAGCACAGTGGGGAACAGCATGAGGGGAGAGAAAGCATCTCCGCCTGCAGATCCTCCGTGCACGCCCTGGTCATTGGAGGAGGGAGGAGGGAGGAGGAAGGGGCGTACAGAACGGAGGTGAAGGGTGGGAAAACATCTCCGCGTGCAGATCCTCCGTGCACACTTGGTGTAGGAGGGAGGGTCCTAACACTTCAAATGAGCGGCAGCAGTGGCACGCTCACTCACCTTGTGGGAGTGACGCGACAAAGCTGAAGCAGCAGCAGCAGTGGCTCTGAGGTATGAGAAAATGACAGGGCTGCTGATGGCAAAGGCGCACTTACCATGTGGGAGTGGGTGTGGGTCTGGCGTTGAGCTGGTGGTTGCAGGGGACTGGCGGTTGGAGCTGTCAGCGTTGCTGGAGCTGCTGACCGCGCTGCCGATGATGCTGCTGGCGTCGCCAGTGCTGCTGTGGGCGGGAGTGCCGAGCTCCTCCCCAAGCCTGGTGGAAGGTGTGGGGGTACCTCCGCTTCCAGCTCCACCTCTGCCTGTACGGGTCCACGTACAGGCCAAGGGGAAGGAGAGGGCAGAGCAGAGAGGAAAGTGATGAATCAGAAGTCAGCCTTCTCAGCCTTGCAGCACCCTCACCGCCTCCCCCTTGCATTGCCGCCGGAACAGGTCCACGTACAGGCGAAGTGCTGGGAGGGAGAACGGGGAGGAACGAAAAGCAGTGAGGTCATTACGTGCCTGGGAAGTACTAGGCACCTCAAAAGGCACGTCAGAACTTTGTGACAGTTCAGCCGTCGCTTGCCATGCAGCACCCTCACCTCACCACCTTACCTCCCCCCTCTTTTCTGTCACCTCAGTTGATTCACATACTGCCGAACTGCTGGGAAAGGGGGAGGAGAAAGGGTGCAATTTCAGGCGCTTCACAAGTTGCCCTGTTGAAGCATCATTGATTTTGTAGCAACTGTAGCAGCTACAACAGCAGCCCCCACAGCCATGCACTGCACTACGCAAATGACCTCACAACTTACACTCGCCATCTCACCTTCAACTGATTTCAGCCCCCCCTCGCTCAACACCCCAGTCAGCTCGAGCAGCCGCTGCGTCTCCACGTCAGCTGCTGGCGCGGGCGTGGGTGGAGCTGACGTGGCACCTAGTGATGACGTGGCGGCAGCCGGCCGGAGATACCAGGTGGAAGGAGGAGTGGCTGACTGTGTGGCTCTCATTCTCGAACACCTGGAGAGATTCAAGAGAGAAAGAGAGAGAGAGAGAGAGAGAGAGAGAGAGAGAGAGAGAGAGAGTGAGAGAGAGAGAGAGAGAGAGAGAGAGAGAGAGAGAGAGAGAGAGAGAGAGAGAGAGAGAGAGAATGAATGGATCCTTGTGCATGTCTGTACTTGCTCGGATCTAATACACGGACCGCTTGAGAGAGAGAATGGATTCTTTGGCCAACCCACAACCGCAAAGGCATCAACCCGACGACACAGGCGTGCTTGCCAGAGCTGGGAGCCTGGCACGACGTGGCAGCCCGTCGGCCCTTGAAGCCACACCAGTCTGCACACCGTCCCTGTCTGTACTGGAGGCTCTGCGCGCCAAACACCCACCTTCCCCCCGCCCCACCTTACTGGACTGAACATTCTCTGAACCGCCCACCTGTCAGCGGCGTTCCCAATCATTTTCAAGGTGCTGGGGTGCTGCAAAAATGGAGTAGGAGCGGGTCCGTCAGGAACTACATTCAAGCACTTTCGCGATGTGGCCCTGGTCAACGCTGCAGTGGGAAAACATCTGCACGCTCTGGTAAACACAATATCGACAGGAAACTTATCTTTGGGTCCACTGCTGTTCGCTGCTGCCATCCACCTCGCGCTGACAAGAACAGCGTTTCTTTCCCGTCCGTGGTATGCTTGGCATACGCGGATGATGTTACCTTCCTTGGGGCGTTTGACCACTTCACAGGTACGTCACAACCAAACGAAGTGCGCGGCCTGGTCGCAAGCAGGCCATTGGGCGGTGACCTTACCAAAGGGGGTCCCCTTCACAGATGGCAGTTTGAAAGTTCTTGGCAGCTTCATCGGTGGCAACGACGCAACGGCCGAGTTCCTGCGAAGCAGCCTAGAAGCAATGGGGTCCCCACTGCGACTGATCTCACGGATGGAGCCGCAGCTAGCTTCTTAACCGAGTGCATTTCGCGACGTGCCTCCTACCTCGCCTGAACGACACCGGTGACTCCATTGCCAGTCGAGGAGTGGTCTGGTAGGGGCCAGGGGCTGTTCGACACATTGCTGACGGCGTGCGACATACGCCACCCACGAGGAGAGGCAGAGACCACACGTACCTAGGTCCAAGCATCGCTCCCTATCTCGCTTAGACCACACGTACCTGGGTCCAGGCATCGCTCCCTATCTCGCTTAGACCACACGTACCTGGGTCCAGGCATCGCTCCGCTCCCTATCTCGCTTAGACCACACGTACCTGGGTCCAGGCATCGCTCCGCTCCCTATCTCGCTTAGACCACACGTACCTGGGTCCAGGCATCGTTCCCTATCTCGCTTAGACCACACGTACCTGGGTCCAGGCATCGCTCCCTATCTCGCTTAGACCACACGTACCTGGGTCCAGGCATCGCTCCCTATCTCGCTTAGACCACACGTACCTGGGTCCAGGCATCGCTCCCTATCTCGCTTAGACCACACGTACATGGGTCCAGGCATCGCTCCCTATCTCGCTTAGACCACACGTACCTGGGTCCAGGCATCGCTCCCTATCTCGCTTAGACCACACGTACCTGGGTCCAGGCATCGCTCCCTATCTCGCTTAGACCACACGTACCTGGGTCCAGGCATCGCTCCCTATCTCGCTTAGACCACACGTACCTGGGTCCAGGCATCGCTCCCTGTCTCGCTTAGACCAGACGTACCTGGGTCCAGGCATCGCTCCCTATCTCGCTTAGACCACACGTACCTGGGTCCAGGCATCGCTCCCTGTCTCGCTTGGACCACACGTACCTGGGTCCAGGCATCGCTCCCTATCTCGCTTAGACCACACGTACCTGGGTCCAGGCATCGCTCCCTATCTCGCTTACACCACACGTACCTGGGTCCAGGCATCGCTCCCTATCTCGCTTAGACCACACGTACCTGGGTCCAGGCATCGCTCCCTATCTCGCTTACACCACACGTACCTGGGTCCAGGCATCGCTCCGCTCCCTATCTCGCTTAGACCACACGTACCTGGGTCCGGGCATCGCTCCCTATCTCGCTTAGACCACACGTACCTGGGTCCAGGCATCGCTCCCTATCTCGCTTACACCACACGTACCTGGGTCCAGGCATCGCTCCGCTCCCTATCTCGCTTAGACCACACGTACCTGGGTCCAGGCATCGCTCCCTATCTCGCTTAGACCACACGTACCTGGGTCCAGGCATCGCTCCCTATCTCGCTTAGACCACACGTACCTGGGTCCAGGCATCGCTCCCTATCTCGCTTAGACCACACGTACCTGGGTCCAGGCATCGCTCCCTATCTCGCTTAGACCACACGTACCTGGGTCCAGGCATCGCTCCCTATCTCGCTTAGACCACACGTACCTGGGTCCAGGCATCGCTCCCTATCTCGCTTAGACCACACGTACCTGGGTCCAGGCATCGCTCCCTATCTCGCTTAGACCACACGTACCTGGGTCCAGGCATCGCTCCCTATCTCGCTTAGACCACACGTACCTGGGTCCAGGCATCGCTCCCTATCTCGCTTAGACCACACGTACCTGGGTCCAGGCATCGCTCCCTATCTCGCTTAGACCACACGTACCTGGGTCCAGGCATCACTCCGCTCCCTATCTCGCTTAGACCACGCGTACCAGGGTCCAGGCATCGCTCCCTATCTCGCTTAGACCACGCGTACCAGGGTCCAGGCATCGCTCCCTATCTCGCTTAGACCACACGTACCTGGGTCCAGGCATCGCTCCCTATCTCGCTTACACCACGCGTACCTGGGTCCAGGCATCGCTCCCTATCTCGCTTAGACCACACGTACCTGGGTCCAGGCATCGCTCCCTGTCTCGCTTAGACCACACGTACCTGGGTCCAGGCGTCGTCCAGGCCTGGGTCTTGTCAACCCCGGAGTGGAGGGACGTTTTGGTTTCCTGGCAAACTTCACACAAGCGCACCAGCTACTGCTACTCACCTCCCTTGACGACTCTACTATCGGGCCGCTAACGGATACGAGGGTGCAGATGACACAGCCATACCTCAACAAGGCACCACTGTTCGGAGTGGGGGCAGGACAGTCTGGAACAACTTTGCACGACACGACACCACACTGACGAACACACCAGTGTGCACTCACCTGCACGCACTAACAAAGATGGTGCTGCGAAGCGACCCGTTCGCAGTCCGTGGCACAACTGCTGACAACATCATCCCGCCTCATAGCAATGGCGAAGCCCGATGGGGAGCCAGGACCGATAACAATAGGTGAAAGCCTCATGAGGCTAGCAGCCAAAGCGGCGCTCACCTTGGGCGAAGACGTCAGGAAGTTCTTCCTGCATATCAGTATAGCTGGTGGGGGGGGAACGATCATTCGCGCTGCCCACGCTTTTACAGATGCCAGCCCGGGCTGCCTTGTCCTCCAGACAGCATTCAGCAGCATCAAATGCCAGGCTTTAGTCTGGGAAGCTACATCGGCACAAGCGGAGGTGCTGCTACTTACCATAGCAAGCAGCTGCAGGCCATGGCGAACCCCTTGCACTGCTTTCTCAAACTGACCCACAACTGGCGTCCCTAATGCTCACCGTTGCATCTCCAGTCGTGCATCAAACCTCAAACAGACATCCCCCCTCCACCATTGGTCACAGTGAGGATAGAACCTGCTAACGACTCTACTCACAACGTGTTCTCTACGCAGCCCCTCGTTCTCCGCGTCCCGCTCCTCCGCATCTGCACCTTGCTGTGCCTCCACCTGCTGTTGCAATTTTACAAAGGCCGCCTGGATCTGGTTTGTGAAACAATGAGGACATGTGAGAGCGGAGCAGGTGAGAGGGAGCAGGGGAGAGAGGGGCAGATAGGGGGTTAAAAATGATGATGTGTGCTTTTCATCAACAAACACACACACACATGCCAGTAGCAATGGTGTATCTCTAAGCAACTCCGCTACACCAAACATCATACTTCATCCCCCCCTGCCCCTCTCATCCCCTCCTCCACCTTCATGCACGTGCAACATAACGGTCCACCCCTCCCGCACTCTCGAAAAGGCGCCCCCCTCCTTCGCTCTCGAACAGGTGCCTCCCTCCCCTCCACTCACACGCCCATGGAGAACACACCCATACACCACACCTTCACGCTAGTCACCTTCACCCCAAACTTTGTGCTCGCATTCGGTGTGCATTCAGTGTGCATCCAGTGAGCATTCAGTGAGCATCCGTTGTGCATTCATTGTGCATCCAGTGTGTATTCAGTGTGCATTCAGTGTGCATTCAGTGTGCATCCATTGTGCATTCAGTGTGCATTCAGTGTGCATTCAGTGTGCATTCAGTGTGCATTCAGTGTGCATTCAGTGTGCATTCAGTGTGCATTCAGTGTGCATTCAGTGTGCATTCAGTGTGCATTCAGTGTGCATTCAGTGTGCATTCAGTGTGCATTCAGTGTGATCACATTCAGTCTAAGTGGGTCTGGCCGGCACTCATGTTTGTTGCAGCCCCCTCCAGCTCCTGCTGGTACCTGCCTGTGCCACACACACCCCTCCCGTGCAACACACACCCCTCCCATGCCACACATACCTCCTCAATATTGATCGAGACTTCCTCAAAGTCATCCGCAGAAAATTCCTCGTATATCTCCGGCGAGATGGGGCAGGCTTGAAGTAGAGCATTCAAGTGCTCCTCACCGTCCCTTCTTTGGTAGTCTGCAAGATGAGGGAGGAACATAGTAGAAAGAGAGGAGAAAGAACTCGTCACTCTATGCCACTCCTCTTCCCATACCACCCCACTGAACACCCCCTACCCCCTTCCACATGCCCCACTCCCATCCCCTTGCCACTTCCTTCCCCATGCCAAACACTACCCCAAGCCACCCCCCCCTACCCTCCCTTCCCTTCCCTTCCCATACCACTCCTCTCCCCACCCCATGCCACCCCGTTCACCACTCCCCTCCCCCTCAGACATACTTGAAAGAACCATCAGAAGGTCCTTCAGGCTCTCAACGTTCGACCGATTTTCGATCATTTGATCCCAATGGTCGCCAATCCATGAACGAAAAAACTCCCAGTCGAACTCTGTAAATCGAGCAGACACGAAGGGATTTTAAAAAACGGCTGAAACCATGAAATAGGTATGTCCTTAGAAGCCACGAACGGCCCATAGCTAGAGAAATGGTCGAAAATATAAATGCAAAAGGGAGGGGGCATGGAGCACCGTGTCAAAGGGAGGGGACGGGAGGGGGTGCGGGGGGGATGCGGTGTGCGGGGGAGGGGGGAGGGGGGAGGGGGGGGGTGTGGCCACGGCTCGCTGTGCCCAAGAGCAGGGGGGGCTGTACGCACGGTGCACCGTGCCAAAGTGACAGATGGGGCTGAGGGCAAGGCAAGTGAGCTGTGGGAAAACAACAAAGGGGGCTGAGGGCACAGTGAGCAGCAGCAGTGGCGCGTTCACTCACCTCGTGGGAGTGTCTTGACAAAGCTGAAGCAGCAGCAGCAGCAGCAGCAGCAGCAGTGGCGCGTTCACTCACCTCGTGGGAGTGTCTTGACAAAGCTGAAGCAGCAGCAACAGCAGCAGTGGCGCGTTCACTCACCTCGTGGGAGTGTCTTGACAAAGCTGAAGCAGCAGCAGCAGCAGTGGCGCGTTCACTCACCTCGTGGGAGTGTCTTGACAAAGCTGAAGCAGCAGCAACAGCAGCAAAGGCGCGTTCACTCACCTCGTGGGAGTGTCTTGACAAAGCTGAAGCAGCAGCAGCAGCAGTGGCGCGTTCACTCACCTCGTGGGAGTGTCTTGACAAAACTGAAGCAGCAGCAGCAGCAGTGGCGCGTTCACTCACCTCGTGGGAGTGTCTTGACAAAGCTGAAGCAGCAGCAGCAGCAGTGGCGCGTTCACTCACCTCGTGGGGGTGTCTTGACAAAGCTGAAGCAGCAGCAGCAGCAGTGGCGCGTTCACTCACCTCGTGGGAGTGTCTTGACAAAGCTGAAGCAGCAGCAGCAGCAGCAGTGGCGCGTTCACTCACCTCGTGGGAGTGTCTTGACAAAGCTGAAGCAGCAGCAGAAGCAGTGGCGCGTTCACTCACCTCGTGGGAGTGTCTTGACAAAGCTGAAGCAGCAGCAGCAGCAGTGGCGCGTTCACTCACCTCGTGGGAGTGTCTTGACAAAGCTGAAGCAGCAGCAGCAGCAGTGGCGCGTTCACTCACCTCGTGGGAGTGTCTTGACAAAGCTGAAGCAGCAGCAGCAGCAGTGGCGCGTTCACTCACCTTGTGGGAGTGTCTTGACAAAGCTGAAGCAGCAGCAGCAGCAGTGGCGCGTTCACTCACCTCGTGGGAGTGTCTTGACAAAGCTGAAGCAGCAGCAGCAGCAGTGGCGCGTTCACTCACCTCGTGGGAGTGTCTTGACAAAGCTGAAGCAGCAGCAGCAGCAGTGGCGCGTTCACTCACCTCGTGGGAGTGTCTTGACAAAGCTGAAGCAGCAGCAGCAGCAGTGGCGCGTTCACTCACCTCGTGGGAGTGTCTTGACAAAGCTGAAGCAGCAGCAGCAGCAGTGGCGCGTTCACTCACCTCGTGGGGGTGTCTTGACAAAGCTGAAGCAGCAGCAGCAGCAGTGGCGCGTTCACTCACCTCGTGGGAGTGTCTTGACAAAGCTGAAGCAGCAGCAGCAGCAGTGCCGCGTTCACTCACCTCGTGGGAGTGTCTTGACAAAGCTGAAGCAGCAGCAGCAGCAGTGGCGCGTTCACTCACCTCGTGGGAGTGTCTTGACAAAGCTGAAGCAGCAGCAGCAGCAGTGGCGCGTTCACTCACCTTGTGGGAGTGTCTTGACAAAGCTGAAGCAGCAGCAGCAGCAGTGGCGCGTTCACTCACCTCGTGGGAGTGTCTTGACAAAGCTGAAGCAGCAGCAGCAGCAGTGGCGCGTTCACTCACCTCGTGGGAGTGTCTTGACAAAGCTGAAGCAGCAGCAGCAGCAGTGGCGCGTTCACTCACCTCGTGGGAGTGTCTTGACAAAGCTGAAGCAGCAGCAGCAGCAGTGGCGCGTTCACTCACCTCGTGGGAGTGTCTTGACAAAGCTGAAGCAGCAGCAGCAGCAGTGGCGCGTTCACTCACCTCGTGGGGGTGTCTTGACAAAGCTGAAGCAGCAGCAGCAGCAGTGGCGCGTTCACTCACCTCGTGGGAGTGTCTTGACAAAGCTGAAGCAGCAGCAGCAGCAGTGGCGCGTTCACTCACCTCGTGGGAGTGTCTTGACAAAGCTGAAGCAGCAGCAGCAGCAGTGGCGCGTTCACTCACCTTGTGGGAGTGTCTTGACAAAGCTGAAGCAGCAGCAGCAGCAGTGGCGCGTTCACTCACCTCGTGGGAGTGTCTTGACAAAGCTGAAGCAGCAGCAGCAGCAGTGGCGCGTTCACTCACCTCGTGGGAGTGTCTTGACAAAGCTGAAGCAGCAGCAGCAGCAGTGGCGCGTTCACTCACCTCGTGGGAGTGTCTTGACAAAGCTGAAGCAGCAGCAGCAGCAGTGGCGCGTTCACTCACCTCGTGGGAGTGTCTTGACAAAGCTGAAGCAGCAGCAGCAGCAGTGGCGCGTTCACTCACCTCGTGGGGGTGTCTTGACAAAGCTGAAGCAGCAGCAGCAGCAGTGGCGCGTTCACTCACCTCGTGGGAGTGTCTTGACAAAGCTGAAGCAGCAGCAGCAGCAGTGGCGCGTTCACTCACCTCGTGGGAGTGTCTTGACAAAGCTGAAGCAGCAGCAGAAGCAGTGGCGCGTTCACTCACCTCGTGGGAGTGTCTTGACAAAGCTGAAGCAGCAGCAGCAGCAGTGGCGCGTTCACTCACTTCGTGGGGGTGTCTTGACAAAGCTGAAGCAGCAGCAGCAGCAGTGGCGCGTTCACTCACCTCGTGGGGGTGTCTTGACAAAGCTGAAGCAGCAGCAGCAGCAGTGGCGCGTTTACTCACCTCGTGGGAGTGTCTTGACAAAGCTGAAGCAGCAGCAGCAGCAGTGGCGCGTTCACTCACCTCGTGGGAGTGTCTTGACAAAGCTGAAGCAGCAGCAGCAGCAGTGGCGCGTTCACTCACCTCGTGGGAGTGTCTTGACAAAGCTGAAGCAGCAGCAGCAGCAGTAGCGCGTTCACTCACCTCGTGGGGGTGTCTTGACAAAGCTGAAGCAGCAGCAGCAGCAGTGGCGCGTTCACTCACCTCGTGGGAGTGTCTTGACAAAGTTGAAGCAGCAGCAGCAGCAGTGGCGCGTTCACTCACCTCGTGGGAGTGTCTTGACAAAGCTGAAGCAGCAGCAGCAGCAGTGGCGCGTTCACTCACCTCGTGGGAGTGTTTTGACAAAGCTGAAGCAGCAGCAGCAGCAGTGGCGTGTTCACTCACCTCGTGGGAGTGTCTTGACAAAGCTGAAGCAGCAGCAGCAGCAGTGGCGCGTTCACTCACCTCGTGGGTGTGTCTTGACAAAGCTGAAGCAGCAGCAGCAGCAGTGGCGCGTTCACTCACCTCGTGGGGGTGTCTTGACAAAGCTGAAGCAGCAGCAGCAGCAGTGGCGCGTTCACTCACCTCGTGGGGGTGTCTTGACAAAGCTGAAGCAGCAGCAGCAGCAGTGGCGCGTTCACTCACCTCGTGGGAGTGTCTTGACAAAGCTGAAGCAGCAGCAGCAGCAGTGGCGCGTTCACTCCGCGTGCAGTTCCTCCGTGCACACTTGGTTTGGGAGGGAGGGTCCTAACACTTCAAATGAGCGGCAGCAGTGCCACGCTCACTCACCTTGTGGGAGTGACGTGACAAAGCTAAAGCAGCAGCAGCAGTGGCTCTGAGGTATGAGAAAATGACAGGGCCGCTGAGGGAAAGGCGCACTTACCATGTGGGAGTGGGTGTAAGTCTGGCGTTGAGCTGCTGGTTGCAGGGGACTTGCGGTTGGAGCTGTCGGCATTGCTGGAGCTGCTGACCGCGTTGCTGATGCTGCTGTTGGCGTCGCCGGTGCTGCTGCTGGCAGGAGTGCCGTGCGTGCCGTGCTCCCCCTCATCCCTAGTGGGAAGAGCGGGGGTACTTCCACCTCCAGCTCCGCCTTCGCCTCCACACTCTGTGGGGGGTTTGAAGGGGGAGTGGCGAGGTTGAGGGGGTCAGGGTGAGGGACAAGGTGAAGCCTGCAGATCCGTGCACGCCTGCAGATCCGTGCACGCCTGCTGATCCGTGCACGCCTGCAGATCCGTGCACGCCTGTAGATCCGTGCACGCCTGCAGATCCGTGCACGCCTGCAGATCCGTGCACGCCTGTAGATCCGTGCACGCCTGCAGATCCGTGCACGCCTGCAGATCCGTGCACGCCTGCAGATCCGTGCACGCCTGCAGATCCGTGCACGCCTGCAGTTCCGTGCACGCCTGCAGATTCGATGCACCAATGAATTCGATGTCCATTCTCATTTTCCACGATAGGTTTGAATGTGCATCTCGTAGTGCGATAAGAAACTCACCGATCTGCAGCGCAGATCGCGCTGCTGCATCGGAGTCGTCCATCTTTGATCTCGCAGTCCACTTGCAGAAAGTTGGTTAAAAACTCCTACTAAGTCGTCTCCGGAATGCGACGGATCCGCGTGTTACTGCGTGTGCTATGGTCTTCGAAAATTAGTTGAAAGGAAGCATGACCCTGGGAAAAGAGGAGAATCTGAGAAAGTCGGCTTACTCTCGCGTGGTATGCTAACTTTGAGACGAGAATGTGTGTCGTGTGCTGTGGCGTGGTGCAAGCTTGCTTGCGAGTTGGCATACTAATTCCAAGGGAGGACCACATCGTGAATTGATGTGAACCAATCAAGTTGAGTCTAATAAGAGAGAGCTAATCCGGAGAGCGGAGCGCGCGTTGAGCTGGCGTTCTGGTGTGTTAGCTTGCTAACTCCAAGGTGGGACCTCTGTGAATCTGGAAAGCGTGGTGAAACGGATGGGATGCAATCAAGGGAAGGAGCTGATGGTACAAGATACAAGCGTGTAGTTTCGATTAGAGTTCTACGTTTCGGCAATGAAATTTGAACTCTGGGAAAGTTCACTTTTTGCTCACTGTTTGATTCAAAGCGTTTCAGTACGTTTCTGCGCAATCGGAAGCGGTTGTTTCACCTCTCGAACCATCAACGAACAAATCCCGTGACCCACACAATGTGTGTGCTCTGGCGATGAAGGAAGGAGAGGGCTGACTTAGTCTGCCTGAAAAACGACTAAAGCAAGCAATCATGGCTAATCAAGGCGTCAGTGTTGTGCATGCGCGTGCTCTCGCGCGCTCCGCGCGCATGCAGGAGGCCGCGAAGCAGTGGGTGGCGACGCCGCTGCTTCAGTAGCGGGCGCGAGAGGGTGGATGCGCGAGGAGCGGAGTGGGAGGGCCCTCGCGAAGGAGTCAGGATGAGCCAGGATGGAGTTAAAAGCGCCGCGGTCCGATTAGTTTCTCACACCGATCTTCTCGTCCCTCTCTCACGCTCTCATTCCGCGCGAAATCACAGACAAGGCGCGGGCGAGGGACGGACAGACGAGGCAAAAGTCAAGATACGGAAAGCAAGATCTTCGCGACTGTAATTTGCTGTGCGCGCGGTGCGCGCGAAATTGCGCGTGGAGGAGCGCGCGGCGCTGCCCTTCGCTGCGACGAAGGGCGCGCGGTCGTCAGGTGAGGTGGACGAGGGAGGAGGGACGGGCACGGTGGGGAGGGGGAAGGTGGTGAGGGGAAGGTGGGGAGGGGGAAGGTGGGGAGGGGAAGGTGGGGAGGGGAAGGTCGCGGCGCTGCCCTTCCCCGCGACGAACGATGCGCCGGTGCCAGGTGAGGTGGACGAGGGGGGTGCGGGGAGGGGAGGGTGAGGTGGGGAGGGGGGAGGTGGTGGGGGGAGGGCGCAGTGGGGAGGGGGAGGTGGTGGGGGGAGGGCGCAGTGGGGAGAAGGGAAGGTGGGAGGGGAGGGCGCAGTGGGGAAGGTGGAGGGTCGGGGAGCGGAGGGCGCAGTGAGGACGGGGGAGGGTGGGGAGGGGAAGGCGCAGTGGGGAAGGGGAAAGGTCGCGGCGCTGCCCGTTGCCGCGTCAGACGTGGGTGCATGTTTGCCCTCGCTCCCACATCTCTCCGCTTTTCCGCTTCTCGCCCCCACATCACTCCCTCTTCTTCTTCCCGCGAACCCCTCCCCACCTCTCCGTCACCTTCCCCCCTTCCTCTCCACCACACCTCTCTGCCCGCCTCTCTCGTGCCCACTTCCCCAAGCCCGCCTCCCCCTCTATCCGTCCTACCCGCCACCCTTCACCTCCCTCTCCCCCATTGCCCAACCCCTTGTGGGCCTGGCCATAATGGCAGCAGCTGCCGCGCGCACCTCGGGGAGAGAGAGGGGCCAAGCTGAGGTGCTGTGCGGAGATAGAAGCACAGCGGGCAGCACTGCCAGTGGTGGCGGGGGAGGGTGACGGGGTGGAGGCTGCGGGGAGCAGCAGTGCTGTGTGCGGCGAGACGGGGTCGGGAAAACAATCAGTATCAAAGAAGTTCCGCAGGTGCTGTGGTGTGGGGGAAAGGGCAGGTGCGCGTGGTGTGGGGGAAAGGGCAGGTGCGTGCAGTGTGGGGGAAAGGGCAGGTGCGAGCGGTGTGGGGAAGGGCCAGGTGAGTGCGGTGGGGTGGGAGAGGTACATGGAGGCCAGCCCTGCCAGCCTTGTGTGCGGTGAGACGGGGTCGGGCAAGACCATGCAAGTGCCACTGAGACACTTGACATGGTGGTATCATCATGTCATAAGATTTTTAACATGCAGATTTACATGCGTTGAACTGTATTTCATGCAATTCATCATGCCATGTTTCATCCATGCATCCATCAAGCATCATGTGCTGCAGCTCATAGCAATTGTTTCACATTATATACATGAGAAGTTAGCGTATGCTTTTATGTCATTTTCATTCAATTTAGCATGACTGAATATGACATCCAACGCTTCGCCCCTTCCCTCCTCCTCCCCTTCTTCCCCCCCCCCCCCCCCCCCCCCCCCTTTTCCCCCCCAATTCAGGTGCTTGGGACTGTTTCAGCACTCACGGGCCTCGAGCTTTGGGAGCTTGACAAAAGGCTCGCTACGCTGAAGAGACCGGGCTTGACAAGGGTTGGGTTGTCATGATACAACTACCCTGTTGGTCAAATACTGCTGGTAGTGGTAGGGCACCTGAATCTGTTTCCCGTGCATGATCTCTCGCTTGCTGTCATTCTCGGGCCAACTCAAGCCCCAGCCACATGCGACGGATGCAATAGGCATGCCGCGCTCCGCTCACAACTCCAACAGTCGTGGCAGCTGCCCTGCCGCTTCTGGTCAATTGCAGTGATGTCAACCAAATGCTCTGTATTTAGAAAGCTTGCTTTCTTGTTGTAGCAATGGCATCGTCTCATTTCAAATGGGACCTGCCCAGATAAGGTCATGTGCACACAACACAGGTGGTTGGCAAGCAACGCAATAGCTATGGCCAGGCCATTAGCTTTGGAGGATTAGCTGGACATGTGTATTCCTTCTTAGCTACAACCGTACGCGCTGCAAAGTCACACTTGAAGTTTGTTAGTCAGCTGAGCCAACTCGTACGGTGCCGGTACCGTAGCCTGAACTTGTTGCAGTGACGCACCTCTCTTTGACTCCGGTACATTTTTATCATCTAAGAATGCTTCCAGCATTCCAGTCCAAGGTTCTCACACTTGCTACAAACAAATTCCGACTTGGACAATACGGTATATTCAGATAAACACTGCCTGTTCTCCATCGAGCAAAACCAAGTGGTGCGTGTCCCCTGTGTTCCTATGACCCTCTTGTCACCCCTATTGGGCCGTTATTATGGCCTGCTGCCAGTAGCACCCTTCGCAGTGTGAGGCTGAGATGGTATGCACAGCACAGGTGTGAAGCGATTGAAAGGAGGTGTAACGCGGTTGAGGGGACGTGGTGCATCGAGCGAGACCAGCCAGTTCAGGTGCTCCCTTGTCACCACGGCCCTGACCTGGACCGTTCAAGTGCCCCGCTGCCACCAGCACCCTTCACAGTGTGAGGCTGAGATGGTGTGCGTAGGTGTGAAGCCGTTGAAAGGAGGTGTGAGGCGGTTGAGTGGGGGGTGAGATGCGGTTGAGTGGGGGTGTAACGCAGTTGAGTGGGGGTGTGATGCGGTTGAAAGGGTTTGTGGCGCATCGAGAGAGGCCAGCCAGTTCGGGTGGTTCCCTCGTCACCAGGCCCTGACCCGAACCGTTGCAGTGCCTTGATGTCGGCACCTCCCTTCACAGTGTGGGGCTGAGACAGTGTGTCCAGGTTTGAAGCGGTTAAGGGGGGGTGTTATGTGGTTGAGAGGGGGTGTCGCGCATCCAGCGAGACCAGGCAGCAAGGGTGGTCACCATGGCCCAGACCTGGACCATTGCAGTGCCTTGCTGTCAGCACCACCCTTCCCACCCGCTGCTGCTGCTGCTGCTGCTGCTGCTGCTGCGCCCGGCAACGGAGTGTGAGGGTGAGATGTTGTGTGCAGGTGTGAAGCGGTTGAGAGGGGGTTTGCCGGGAGATTGGACGGTCCGGCTGGTGGTGGTAGGAGACTGAGTGGCGTGCCTGCTGCCGCCGCCGCTGGTGCTGCTGCTGCCGTTGCTGGCACTGCTGTTTGTGCTGCTGCAGATAGAGAAGTAGGCATGGCTGCTGGCTGCAGCGTTTGGGGAAATTGAGGGGAGGAAGACAGGTCCGAAGGGGATAGAGGCGAGAAAACTAAAAAAATAGAGACAAGAAAAGAAGTAATATCGATGGTGGACGGGGATACGAATCAAATCAAATCGAACGTGATGATGGGAATGAGAACTTGCCAGAAGCTGCGCTGCTGAGTGACAGCGACAGTAATGTCAACGTGATCGCACTCGCTCCAGCTGAGAAGGGGTGCGCACGCCGTGCTTCGTTCACTCAATGCGCAACGTGAACTCACCATGCTGGGGTGCGCGTGCGTGTGGGACTGCAGCAGCAGCAGCTGGGCAATCACTGCATGCTTCTTGACTCACCATTTGCGTGTGTGACTGTGACTGCAGCTGCAGCAGCTGGGAGCGCAGCTGTTCGTTTTCTTCCTTCAACTGTGCCACCTCCGCCTCTAACTCTACTGTGTACGCCTGGAGGGAGGGTGGGGGGAGGGCATGGGAAGAGGATCATGTGGCTCCGCTCCTGGGCACCCTTCAGGCTCCACTGTGTACGCCTGAAAGGGGGGGGGGGGGAGAGGAGAGGGGAAGGGCTGGGCGCGCAGCTGCTCGTTCTTTTCCTTCAGCTGCGCCTCTTCTGCCTCCAGCTCTACTGTATACGCCTGGAGGGTTGGAAAGGGGGGGCATGGGAGGAGGATCATGCGGTTAGGCTTCAGGGCACCTTCGCATTCAGGCTCCACTGCGTATGCCTGAGGCGGGGTTAAGGAGAGGGGAAGGGCTGGGCGCGCAGCTGCGCCACCTCCGCCTCCGGCTCTACAGTGTATGCCTGGGGGGGAAAGGGCAGGGGGGTGTGTGGCATGGGAAGGGCAGCACGTGGTTAGACTTGAACGTGTGTATGCCTGGGTTGGGGAGAGAGGGGAGCACCAGAGGGGTGGGGCGGAGCACAGGAAGCGGTGCAGCATGGTGCAGCTTGGTGCAGCATGGTGTGAGGAGAGAGAGCAAGAGCCATGTGCACGCAAACAGCCACACGGTGACCCTGTGCCGTCCACCCTGTGCCGCGCAGCATTCTCCCTCCTCTCAAAGTACCACGGGTCTTGACTCAGTGTGGCACAGCAGCAAAACAAGAAGATCTGGAAAACGCTTCTTCACCTCACCTCAATCCATCCCACCTCACCCCACCTCACCGCACCCCACCTGTTTCCTCGCCCGGGACCGAGCGGCCGACTCTCTATTCTTGATCATCCGCTTCTGCCTCCTCTCAACGCTTCATGAGTTTTCACTCACAGCGGAGGAGCAGCAGGCAATCACATAATGTTTTCTCACCGCACCGCACCTCACCCAACCGCACCTGTTTCCTCGCCCGGGACCGAGCGGCCGACTCCCTATTCTTGATCATCCGCTTCTGCCTCCTCTCCACTGGCGCCCCTCCCCCTTCCCCACTGCGCTTCCTCCCCCTCCGCCCCGCACTCCCCCCCACGCCCCCGCTCAAAGTGTCTCCATCCCCACTCCCCCCACCTGTATCCGACTGCCCCCCTCCCCCTCCGCCGTCACTGCCCCCCCACCTCTCTCCCCCGCCCCCCACCCCATCAGCCGACACCATGCTCGCCCCAGCAAGCCCCCCCAACCCCCCTGCGCCCATGCCTGCGCCCATCCCTGCGCTCATCCCTGCGCCCATGCCTGCGCCCATGCCTCCGCCTATCCCTGCGCCCATGCCTGCGCCCACACCATACGTAGTGGGCGCCAACCCCCCACCCATCCCCACGCCTCCCCCAACGCCTCCGCCCACGCCTCCCCCAATCCCTCCCCCCATGCCCATCCCCATGGCAAGGCCACCAGCAGGGGCGGGTCCCATCGCCCCCATCGCTCCCTGCACTCCCAGTGACCCCAGCAGCCCCCCTCCTTGCGCGCCCAGCGCTCCCAGGGAGTTCCCCCCCAGTGCTCCCAGTGAGCTCCCCCCCAGTGCTCCCAGGGACCCCAGGGACCCGAGGGCGTTGAGGGCAGCGGCGGCAGCAGCAGCGTGGCGTGTGGCGGCGAATACAGATGCCACGTGGCTGTGCCCTGCATCTGCCACCGCCGCTGCTGCCATCTCTACCACTGCTTGCTGCTGCTGCTGCTGCTGCTGCAACGCCTGCTCGCCTCCCCTTCCTCCCTCTCCGCCACCACCCCCACCTCCTCTCCCTCTCCCTCCCTCGCCTCCGCCCTGCCCCCCGTGCTGCTGCTGCGGGTGAAGCTGGTTCTTGTGCTGCTGCAGGAATGGCACCTTTGCTTGTCCTGCCTGCCCTGCTGCCCCCGCATGTGGGTGGAGTTCCCACCCTGTTGCCGCTGCTGTAGCTTTCGAATCATGTGCCACGTCAGCACTGCGGCCATTTGCCCCCACGCTCCCCATCCGCCCGTCCGTTCCAGTGAGTTGCCCCCCTCCTTCCCCCCCTCCACCTTCCCCCCCTCCACCTTCCCCCTCGCCCCCGCCGGCTCCGCCCTCCCCCTCTCTCCGCGCACTGCTGCCAATCCCGCCACTCGCCTCCTCCCCATCCCCCGGCTCTCCCCCTATAGCCGCTATACCCCCTATAAGCTCTTCCTTCGAAATCCCTGCGCGCACTAAAAAATCTTCCAGTGTAATTTCTGCAAACGACAATTGCCGTATTTGTTGCTGCCCCTGCCCCTGCGCTTGTTGCTGCTGCGCCTCCCCCCCTCCGCGAGTACCTTCCGCCGATGCCCCGCCCCCTTCCGCTGCTCCCCCCTCCCCCGCTAGTTCGGCCTGTATGTCTTTCCACACGTCTTCAACTGTCCGCGCAGTCAGCGCGCGCGGAAGCGCTGCGGCGGACTTCTGCCTCCGTAGCGAGCGCGCGCGCAGCAGCCCCGCGGCCTTGTCGCGCGCGCGCGGATCCGCGCCGCCGGCGGCGTGCGCGGCGGCGAGCATTTGCGACTCCTCGGCGAGCCAGACGGATCGCAGAAAGTCGTCCATGGGCATGGATGCGACGGCGTGCGACGGGCCTGCGAACGTCGCCTGGAATTCGTCGAGCGTGAGTGAGTAGATTGACGCCTGCCGCGCTAGCAGCTCCGGGAACGCCATGGCGCGCGGGCGGAGGGCGGAGAGGCGGAGCGGCGGAAAGGCGGAGAAGCGGAAAGGCGGAAAGGTGGAGAGGCGGAGGCGGGAAAGCGGACAGACGCCGAAGAGGGGATTATGTACAAATTAGGCGCCGTTATAGGAGACGGTGACGAGCGGACGATTCGAGAGGTGCCTAGAAAATAGGTGGCGCGAGAGAGGGGAGGGTATTTACAAGGGTAACGGCGGCTATGCGACGCGCAAAGACATCAACGCTCTCCGCCGACGCCGGCGGCGGATGAATCGGCGGTACTATGGGCCCACTCGACTTGTATTTGACACGTTGCGGCGCACTTTCGCGTCTAGTTGCGGTGTATTAGTAAGCTGCTAACGAAACTGTCAATAGAGTGGTTCAAAATTTCACGCGCCTATCACTCGCCTATCGCGGCGCCTAAGCCAGCCCGTTCCTGACGGCTCCTCCCATTCCCCTCCTCCCCCATCCTCTCGTCGCATCGTCGCAAGGATGAGTGGCGCTGGGTGATCGTAGGGATGCGCACGACAAGGCAACGAGCACGCGAAGGCACGGCCTGGAGGAGGAATAAACTGCGGATTCAAGGAGCAGCGAATCAAAGGAGGTGCGGCACACGGAGGGCCGATGCGGAGCACGGCAGTGGAAGTGGGTAAAATCTAGAGAGACATGCGCGTGACGAATGGCGACTCGGGGTGGTATGTGGGATATCAGCGGAATGAAGTGAGTGAACGTAGTAACGAGTGATTTCTGGCAGGTGGTGGTGAGAAGGGAAGACGGGGAGCGGGAAGGTGATTGGCGGCGCTGCAGGTTGCTTGCTAACGCCAAATCAAGACGAGGGCGGGGGCTGAGAAAGTTAGAAAGCGGTTCAATGTGCTGCTTTGCGTTCAAGAGCGATCAATTTAAAAGAGACAACGGTTGGGTGGGGTGTTGAGTTGAATTGATGTTTTTGGATCTGCATCGCGTGCAACCCGATAAAGGCGGCCTCATCTGCACTACAGAGACCACATGAAACTCTTCACCGTATTTTCAACTCATCAGTCTTGCGTCTGGTTGTTGCTGACGAAACTCACGGGCTGATTGGTTTGTTCCTCAGCAGACTCCCAGGTTTCCGCCTGTACCTCGTACACGTGTCAGCATCCCATTCCCCGTTAGCTGGCAAAGCACCTCCTCTGGGTCCGTTACAAAGAGGGTTCCATTTCACAACAGCTAGATACACACTTTGTACATTACGATTATTTCGGAAGTCCCATCCCATCCCCCGAACCCCAAGTTTCGATTCGTTCTGATCCAACCCAGAGTTCAATCACCATCCGATCTTCGCCATACTTCTCCGCGCACTCAGAGATCATCAGCAGCCGCGTCGCGCGTGCTCTAGTCGCCACCAGCAACATTATTCCGCCCTGGCATTGGCAGCCGTCGAAGAAACGAGCAACGCCGCCCAGCGCGGTGTCTCCAGTGATTGTCGCCGAACGTGTTCCTTCTCTTCCGCGCAGCTTTCCCCGTTCCGCGCGAGTCCGGCCCATGGCCCTCCGCGTCCACCCCGCCTTGCCCCCGGGAACGCGCCCCTTGGCGAGTGTTACAGTAACTAGCGAACGTAATAGGTAGGTCGTCGCCGCTGCGGTGTTTTCGCAATCAATGTGCGCTTTATCGCACGCCCGCACGGCCTTCTTCACATGCAGTGTAGACCGTTCATCGCTCGCTATACGCTGCTGCGATATGAGTGACATTCAGAACAAGAGCGTCTACACTCTTCCCTGGCGTTTTCCGAATCACCCACTCTTGTCCTCCATCCATCCTCATTCCATTCCCCATTGACTCTAACCCCGTTCCATCCTGTTCTCGACTCTCGCTCCTTTTTCTCCATTCTCTCGCCTGTCCCTCTCCCTGCCTCCCTCTCCCATCCCACCGCCTCTCTGTTCCCTTTCCTTTCCCCCCTTCGCCAACCCTCCTCCCCCATTTTTTCCAGAATACCCTTGCCCCGCGCGCGCCTACTATCCTCCGCCCACTCGCTAGCCGCCGCGTCCCCTTTCCGCACCGACTTCTGCGCCACTCCGCCAGGCGCAGCGCGCGCCCCCTCCCGCAGGCGGAGGGCGTGGCGCGCAGCTGCTGCAGCGGGCGCGGGCGAGGCGGATGCGGGGACGTCCCCGCTGGTGACCGCTGCGGGCGATGGCGCAGTGAGGGCGGGTGAGAGGCAATGGCGCGGAAGGGGGGCGGGGGGGGGCGGGTGAGTTGCAGTGGGAGGGGGGGCGCGCGCGGGTGAGTGGCAATGGTGCGAAGAGGCGGATAATTTCTTTGTGGCGCAGTGAGGGTAAGTGAGTGAGGTAGCGTTCCCCTTCCTCCCCTCCCGTCCGCCCTTCTCCCCTCCCCACAGCATCCCACATACCAAGGGCGCCTTCGACTCCCCGCGCCGGTTCGCTAAGAAGTTTGCTCGCACCACACTGCCTGGCCTTACAGCCCACTCCCCACCCTTCCCACTCCCCATTCCCCCCTTTCCTCCTCTTCGGTCTCCGCCACACGTTCAGGCCTCTTTCGCTCACCTGAGTCAGGCGGAGTGGAGAGCGCGACGAGCGCCCACGGGCTGCCAGCGCCGGTGCGCAACCGGCGCCGGTTGCGCTCTTCATGATGCCGCCGCCCTTGACCCCACCCTCTTTCTCACCCCCTTCCAGTGTCAGCCACACGCTCGGGTCTCTTCCGCTCGCCAGACTCAGGAGGGGTGGAGAGTGCAACCAGCGCCCACGGACTACCCGCCCCAGCAGTGGCAGTGCGCAACCTGGTGGAGCAGGCGCAGTACGCACAGCTCTGCTCCATCATGCCAATTCTGCCCCCTGCCGTTCCCCCCCTCCCATTTCCCCCCTTCTCCCCACACCCCCTCCCATTTCCCCCCTTCTCCCCACACCCCCTCCCATTTCCCCCCTTCTCCCCACACCCCCTCCCGTCCCCTCTCTTCCAGTCTCCGCCACTCGCTCGGGCCTCTTCCGCTCGCCAGTCTCAGGCGGAGTAGAAAGCGCCACGAGCGCCCACGGGTTGCCAGCCCCGGCTGTAGCAGTGAGGAATCTGGTGGAGCAGGCGCAGTACGCACAGCTCTGCTCCATCATGTCAAGGTCGCACCACCGCCGCAAGGGGTACCCCTTTGGGTCTCTTGTTGACTTTACCACTGACGCTGACGGCCGTGAGTAAAAAAGGGGAAGGTGGGGAGGGGAACGGGGGCAGGGGGGGCAGGGAGTGGGATGGAAGAGCGTGGGCAGTGGGCAGAGGAAGGGGATAGGAGGGAAGGGCAGGTGAGGGAGCAAGCAAGGAGGGCAGCAGGCGCAGTACGCACAGCTCTGCTCCATCATGTCCCGCTCGCACCACCGCCGCAAGGGCTACCCCTTTGGGTCTCTTGTTGACTTTACCACCGATGCTGATGGCCGTGAGTGGGGAAATGAAGGGATTGGGGGCATGAGTGGGAAAGTGGGTAAGGGGGAAGTGGGGAGAGAGAGGGGGAGATGGGGAGGGGGAGGTGGGGAGGGGGGAAGGGCGGGTGAGCGAGGTTGGACCGAGGATGGGAGTGAGTGTGCAGGGGAAACGAGAGAGGAAGTCTGCTTGTTCCACCTTTTCCTGCCATCCCCCCTCACCAAACCCCTTGTTCCTGCTCTCCCCTCTCGGCATGCACTCGCGCAACCTCCAGTCCGACCCGCGCTGCACCGCACCGTGGTGGTGCAGATCGCACCTACCCCTGGTTGAGCGGCCTTGCCAACACCAACCTGCACCTGGGACCCACCTTTCTGATCCCACCCACCTTTCCCTGCCATTCCCTCCCCTCCCCATTCCTCCCAGACCCGGTCTTCCTGCTCTCCCCTCTCGGCATGCATTCGCGCAACTTGCAATCGGACCCGCGCTGCACCGTGGTGGTGCAGATCCCCGGCTGGAGCGGTCTTGCCAATGCCCGTGCCACCATCTTTGGGGACCTCTACCCCCTGCCGCCCAGCCAGCAGGTGGGATAGGTACTAGGTACCAGGTACCAGGAGGTGCCATGCCACTGGTCTTACCAAAGAGCGACATGTGAGCATGCTGCAGCAGGTGCACCGTGGTGGTGCAGATCCCGGGGTGGAGTGGCCTTGCCAATGCCCGCGCCACCATCTTTGGCGACCTCTACCCCCTGCCGCCCAGCCAGCAGGTGCGATTGCTACCCTTGCCGCCCAGCCAGCAGGTGGGACCTGTACTCTTTTGTCGTCTATCCCCCCAGATAGCTGGTAGAGACTAGACACATCACAGCACATGGGGGTGAAACCAAGTGCGATAACAACCCGTTAGCGTGTTTGCATCAGCACGCAAACAATCCCCTCTCCCTCCCTAACTCCTCCTCCCCTCCATGCCCCCCACCTCACATTTTGCCATTTCTCCCTCCGGGCCCTCACTTCACCTCCCTCCCTCCCTCCCTCCCTCCCTCCCTCCCTCCCTCCCTCCCTCCCTCCCTCCCTCCCTCCCTCCCTCCCTCCCTCCCTCCCTCCCTCCCTCCCTCCCTCCCCTTTGGTTCCGCCACTGGCAGGAGTGGGCGCGGGGCTTCTATGTGAAGCGGCACCAGCACGGGGCAGCGCAGCAATGGGGCAACTTCCACTTTTACCGCATGGATACCATCTGGTAAGTGCATTCATCTTGTAACCAGATTCATGCGGTAACCGCATTCATCTTGTAACCAGATTCGTTCGGTAAGCGCATTCATCTGGTCATCCGGTAACCGCTTTTGGCACCATCTACTTACTGGGGGGGGTTGGCAAGGTGGCATGGATTGACGTGGCTGAGTATGTGAAATGGCGCCTAGATACTGACACACTCTCTTGCCCTTCCAACCACCCTCCCTTCCTCCCCCTCCCTCTCCCCACCCTTCCGCCCCCCCCACCCCAACAGCGACATCTACTTTGTGGGGGGCTTTGGCACGGTGGCGTGGATAGATGTGGCTGAGTATGTGAATCGGTGCCCCTCTTGCCCTTCCCCCTTCCTCCCCATCTCGCGTTTCCCTCCATTGTGCCCCCTTCCAGCGATATTTACTTTGTGGGCGGCTTTGGCACGGTGGCGTGGATAGATGTGGCTGAGTATGTGGCTGCCACACCCGACACCGTGGCCACCAACCACGTGGAGCACACGCTGCAGGTGAGTGAGAGGAAACACACTTTGTGCTCACAGTTACTGCTGAGGGCACTCATTCTGTGCTCACAGTTACTGCTGAGGCCACTCATTCTGTGCTCACAGTTACTGCTGAGGGCACTCATTCTGTGCTCACAGTTACTGCTGAGGGCACTCATTCTGTGCTCGCAGTTACTGCTGAGGGCACTCATTCTGTGCTCACAGTTACTGCTGAGGGCACTCATTCTGTGCTCACAGTTACTGCTGAGGGCACTCATTCTGTGCTCACAGTTACTGCTGAGGGCACTCATTCTGTGCTCACAGTTACTGCTGAGGGCACTCATTCTGTGCTCACAGTTACTGCTGAGGGCACTCATTCTGTGCTCACAGTTACTGCTGAGGGCGCTCATTCTGTGCTCACAGTTACTGCTGAGGGCACTCATTCTGTGCTCACAGTTACTGCTGAGGGCACTCATTCTGTGCTTCCAGGTGAGTCTCTGTGGCTGAGTATGTGGCTGCCACGCCTGATACCGTCGCCACCAACCATGTTGAACACACGCTGCAGGTGAGGCTGAGAGGGAACATACCGTTGTGAGACGGGGGCCCTCTGAGCTGGCGAGGTCGAGCCCCCAACAGGCCATCGATGACGCTTCCTCCCTCTCTCAAATCATAGTGGTCGTCCACCCCTCTGTGCCAGGAAGGAACTCAACGATCGGCTGGGGGGAGGGGACTGAGGGCGGTGCTGGCAGGGTCGAGTGCGGTGCGCTATCATTGTGCTTCTCCTTCCCTCGTCTTCCCTCCTCTCTCCTTTCTCCTCGTGACAGGAGCTCAACGACCGGCTGGGCGCCGAGCTGGGAGCAGTGCTGGCGGGGTCGAGCCCCCAGCAGGCCATCGATGACGCTTCCTCCCTTTCTCTAATCATAGGTGCTTCCTCGCCCTGACTGTGGCTGTCAGGAACTCAACGACCGGCTGGGCGGGGAGCTGAGGGCAGTGGTTTGGTGTGGATTGTCATCGTGGTTTTTTCCGTCTTCTTCCGTCCCTCTCTCGTTGCTCCCCCCTTCAGGAGCTGAACGACTGGCTGGGGGTGGAACTGAGGGCGGTGCTGGCAGGGTCGAGCCCCCAGCAGGCCATCGATGATGCTTCTCCCTCTTCCCTCACCTGCTGTCCTTGTGCTCTCCTCCCCCCTTCAGGAACTCAACGACCGGCTGGGCGGGGAGCTGAGGGCGGTGCTGGCAGGGTCGAGCCCCCAGCAGGCCATCGATGATGCTTCTTTCATCAGCATTGACAGCAAGGGGGTGGATATCCGCGTGCGACACGGCACACAGGTGAGAGCGTAGGACGGCACACAGGTGCATAAAGGGCTGGTTGGTATTCGGGTGACTCAAGCAGTGAGCCCCCAGCAGGCCATTGCTGATGCATCGTCGTTCATCAGCATTGATAGCAAGGGGGTGGACATCCGCGTGCAACTCGGCACTCAAGTGTGAAGTGGGGTGCAGAGATAGCATGGCATGGGATGTGAACCAGGTGACTCGAGCCTCCAGCAGGCCATTAAAGATGTGTCGTTTATCAGCAGCAACAGCAAGGATGTGGATATTTGCGTGCAGCACGGCACTCAGGTGAGTAGAGAAGGCGAGAGGTGATGAGGTGGGCAGGTGGGATGATGTGTCAGCTGGGCACGTTCATGCAGCCAGTAACGATCTAATACCCTGCAGATGCCTCTTGTTTTCTTACCCGTCTCCGTGCACCTCCTTTGTCTTGACCTGCCCTGCCTCCCCCTCCTCTTCATTCCCTTTCCCCGCCCCCCTTCACTTCTCCCCCATCTTCAGTTCCATATTCCTCACCACATCAGACCCCGTCCACTCAATGCCAGCAACAGAGGCCACACACACTCGCACCCATGCCCTCTCACTCCCCTCCCAAACACCCAATCCACCCTCTGCAGTTCCACGTGCAGCGCCTCTCCTTCACCACATCAGACGCAGTCGACTCACTGCCAGCAGCAGAGGCAGCCCTCCGCCGCATCCTCGCCTGCCCCTCACTCGTGCTCCCCAATGGCACCCCTCTGCTCTGACCACTTCACTCATCCTCACCTACCCCTGCTAGCCCGTATACTATCTGTGACGGCTGCACAGCCCCTCTAGGGTCCTCCCTCATCCTCCCCAGCAGCACCCTGCTCCTCTGACCGTTTGCAGTCCCTGTCCCTGCTATGCGCCATGCACAGCCCCATTTTCGGTAACCAACCACTGCCCTAATGGCCGCACAGCCTTGTGAATTGATGTGCTATGAGACATCCCACCCACCAAGGTGCTCCTGTGCTCACGGCTCGCTCCTGATGTTTCGGAACAAGGGCATCTTTCTCGGCTGAGTGGGTGGTGTCTCGAACAAGGCGATTTTCTAGGCGCCTCAAATCGTGTGCTTACAAATTGTTCCCGTTCGAAGGGAGGTTTTGTTATCGAGTGGTTGGTGGCTCCAACAATCACGCTGTCACCATTCCTGCCTGTTTTCCACTTTGTTTTTTTCCAGTTGTTTAATTTAGCCATACCATGTGGGAACAGTATGTGCATGCATTGCACACCCAGATAGATATTTATGTATTGACCAACATTGAAGGAAACGTACACACACATTCAAGTGGGCCTGCCAAACCAGCGGCAGCGGCCCTTTCTAACCTCACTCGTAACAGCTGCAGCGGCAAGATGGGCACCATGCATGCCATTGATTTGGATTGATCCCCATTCAGCACAACAGTCAGCTTCGCATGACTGGCTTGATGGTTGGCAGTGCGGTGCAGTACGGTGCAGTACAGTACCAGCCCTTAATGGTGCTTGGCAGTGCGGTGCTGCTGCATGAAGGCACGGAGGCAGAGCACCATGACATCCCGGGCTCGTTGCGAGGGAAGTGTGAGTTCCACCTCCTTGTCTGCACTCACCACCACGCGCATGCGCTCCCGCTCATTCGGTTCTGTTTCCACCTGATGGCTCAAAGGTGCAATGAGAGGTGGGAGAGGAAGGGGTTGAAAGAGGGTGGAGGGAAGTGTGAGCTCCACCTCCTTGTCCGCACTCACCACCACGCGCATGCGCTCCCGCTCGCCCGGCTCTGTCTCCACCTGCAGACACGGGGTGGGGAGAATGAGATATGGGAGACAATACGGGAAAACAAAGGGAGCTCTACCTCCTTGTCCGCACTCACCACCACCCGCATGCGCTCCTGCTCGCCTGGTTCAGTTTCCACCTGATGGCACATGTGGTGCAATGAGAGATGGGAGAGGATGGAAGAGGAAAGGGGGTGGGAAGAATGAGAGATGGGAGAGAAAGGGGGAATTGTGTTACCCCAAGTTCCCAAACCCTGAACCCTAACCTTTAGGTTCCCAAACCTGAGCCGTGAGCGTTACCCTGAAGGGCGGGTCGTAGGTTGCCCTGACTTCCACTCTGTTGATGGCAGCGAGTGCTGTGAGCTTCACCACTTTGAACCGCTTTCTACTGGCGTCCACCACTCGGTGCTCCCTTCGGCCTGACCGCCCCACGTCATGCGTCTGGCGAGCAGGGAAGGCAGAGGGGAGAAGGGAGAAGGGAGAAGAGAAAAGGGAGAAGGGAAAAGGGAGAAGGGAAAAGGGAGAAGGGAATGGAGAGGGAAATGGGGGGAAGTGGGGAGGGGGCAAGGAGAGGAGAATGTGGAAAGGGCATGTGGAGGATGGGTATATGTGGAGGGTGGTTGTAAGCAGGGCACGGTATACCTGGCATGAATGGCATGGCATGGCAGCATGACATACATAGACACAACAGCACATGGCCACCTGAGAACACATGGCCACCTGAGAACACATGGCCACCGGGGAACGCAGCTGGGTGGGGGGGGAAGGCAGCTGGGTGGGGGGGGAACGGCCACCTGAGAACACATGGCCACATCATGAACACAGTACCGTCCCCAGCACTAAACACTCCTCGGCATCCCCTCAGCACCCCCCCCGCACCACCCGTCCGTCATGGGCACTGACCTCCACTTTGGTGCTGCCTGCCGCCACTATGAGACCCACATGCCTCGCTACAGCGGGGTGTGCGTGGTCGCGCAAGAGCACAGTGTCCCATGGCAGCACGTGACTGCTTCATGCACCCACCCTCCCAACCCCCCAGTTACCAGCCCCCAGCACCATGTGTCATGACTCATGGGAATTGACCTCCACTTTGGTGCTGCCTGCTGTCACTATGAGACCCACATCCGTCTCCACTGCGGGGTCTGGCAGGGAAGGATAGTTGCACGCACATGGTCCTATAACAGCAGCACGTGACTGCTTCGTGTGCCCACCCAGCCTCCCGATTACCAAACCCCAGCACCACCCGTCACGGGAACTGACCTCCACTTTGGTGCTGCCCGCCGCCACTATGAGATCCACATCCCTTGCCACTGCGGGGTCTGGTGGGGGACAAGGGGGGGGGGGGGGGGAGGGGGGGTAAATGACAATCAAGGTGCGGAGCAGGGTTAATGGCACAACAGTGCAGAGTGCGCTTCGAGTCGACTCAGAAGGCTGCCCGCCGCCACTATGAGATCCACATCCCTTGCCACTGCGGGGTCTGGTGGGCATGGGAGCACAGGTGCACGGGGAGAGACGACAGTGCAGGGGGGAGTGAGTGAGGGAGCGGCTGGTTGTGAGGCCACTGAACGAACGGCCATCACAATGCGGTGCACGTCCCGTGCCCCTGCGGGGTTTGGTGGGCATGGGAGCATAGGTGCACCCGGGAAAGGAGTAGGGGAGAAGGGAGGGCAGTGCAGGGGGGTGAGTGAGCACAGGTGAATGGCGGAGCAGTGCGTAATGAGCAGGGAGAAGAGAGCAAGGAGCAGGTAGCGTGTGGGTGTGTACGTCCAATGAGGAAGACGAGGGGAGGAGAAGTAGGTGCAATGCAGTGCAGGCACGCTATACGAATGGGCAATTTCCCGTACCAACAAGCACTTGCGGGGACAGCACTCGCAGCACCACCTCCTCCCCCTCCCCCTCCCCTCCCCCCCTCCCCCTGCTGGGAGTGCACGCCTTGGGAGTGCAGGTATGATGCAATGCAGTGCAGGCATGTATGGGCAATTTCACGTACCGACAAGCACTTGCGGTGACAGCACTCGCAGCACCACCTCCTCCCCCTCCCCTTCCCCCTGCTGGGAGTGCAGGTCGTGGGCGGGGAGGGGCCGCATCTCCACCATGAGGCACTGATGCGCGTCTGCCACGTCAGCTTGGTATGTCATGCCCGTTGCACCTGATAATGAAGTGAGCGGAGGGGGCGGGGTTGGGGACAGGGGGAGTGGTGGGCAGGGCGGGGAGCGGCCGCAGCTCCAGCATGAGGCACTGGAGTGCGTCTGCCACGTCTGCCTGGTACGTTGTGCCCGTTGCACCTGAGAGTGGGGGGAAAGGAGGGGAGGAGGGAGGGGAGACACATTGACTCAAGAGCCGCAGCTCCACCACGAGGCACTGGTGTGCATCTGCCACGACCGCCTGGTATGTTGTGCCCGTGGCACCTGCAAGTGGGGAGGGGAAGGAGTGGGGGAGGGAGTGGAGGCAACTTAACTCAAGAGTTGCAGCTCCACCATGAGGCAGCAGTGCCACGTCTGCCGGGTATGACATGCCCGTTGCACGGCGTCTTATCCACCTCAATAGCTAGGCAGAGGTAGCACAGGGGCGGGCACTCACCGGGTAGGGGGTGCGGGTCCAGGGCGTGGAATCCCCCTGGGCTGGGGGCACGCGGAACCACTGCATTCGGCAGGCGGAGGGGCGCAGCCAGGGAAAGGGGGGGGGAAACGGATGATAGGGGTACGGCACCTAACCTCGCACCTAACCTGAAGAACTCACCAGGTATGGGGTGGGGGTCCAGCGCATGGAAACCCCCTGGGGGCACGCGGAACCACTGGATGCGGCAGGAGGAGGGGCGCAGCCAGGCAGGGGCAGGGAGCGACGGCGGGAGGTGCAGGTGGAAGAGCGACGTGTGGTAGGGCCCTCCTGATATGCGCAGCGCGGTGCTGCTTTCTGAGTGTGCGGGGGTGGCTGCAGGGCGGGACCCTGCACTCGCTGCCTCTGCCGACCCTCTGCTCTCCCGTCTGCCTTCTCCTTCCCCCACATACCCTCCCCTTATGCCTTCAATCCCTCCACGCCCTTGCTCATGCCCTTCCTCCACGCGGCCTCCCAACCCTTCCTGCCCTCGTTCACGCCCTCCTTGCTCATGCCCGCCCTGCGCCCCTCCCCTGCCTCCCTCCAGCAGCACGGCCCCCTCGCCCTCACCCCGCTGCTGTGCCCTCTGCATACCCCGCACCTCCTCCGCCCCTGCTGCAGCAGCGGTGCTCCTCGCAGTGCCGTCAGCAGCACTAGCGGGAGCAGCGGGAGCAGCCGGCAAGGTTTCAGAGGTAGGCAGCCCATCAGCATCGCCTGCAGAGGCTGCCGCTGGGGCAGCAGCAGCAGGGGTGGCAGTCGCAGCCTCAGGAGTGGCTGGAACGGCAGGAACGGAGACAAGGTCAGCGGCTGGAACAGCAGGAGCAGGAGCGATGGGGGTGGCGGTGGTGGCAACAGAGTTGAAGGAGCGCCCGAACGAGTCCAGCACGGTGGCGGAGCACAGCAGGTACGCGCCCACGTGGCGCTCCGTCACTGGCAGGCGCGCTGACGTGGCGCCGTCGATCGGGCGGTGCGAGTCGGAGCCGCTGCTGGCCTGCCACCTGGCAGAGATGGAAGAGGGAGGATAAGGGTAATGAGATGGCAGTGGGACAGGTGCATTAAAGGGAGGTGCGAGCCGTTTCTGACCTGATGGCGATGTGGCTTGACCTCACTGGTGAGTCACCAGTGCAAATGACATGGGCACCTCTCCCATGGATGTGGATGGCTGGGTGCCCATCTCTCAACTTGAGTGCGGGCGGCAGGGCATGCACGCAGCACTTGACTCGATTCGGGGCTCACCAGTGCAAATGAGTTACCCAGTTCACCACTGCATATGAATGGCAGTGACGAATGGCTTGAGTGCAGGTGACACAGCATGCAGGATGCCTTGTGAGCTCGGTACATGGCTCACCACTGCATGTGAACGGCGGTGACGAACGGCTCAAGGGCAGGCGGCACAGCATGCAGGGCGTGCAGCACTAGAGAGTGGACTTCACCCATGGCTCACCAGTGCAGATGAGTCATCCAGCAGCCAGCTTACCACTGCATGTGAACAGCTGTGACGAAGGGCTCCAGGGCGGGCGACACAGCATGCAGGGCGTGCAGCAGTGGTGGGTCAACTCGACTCACAGCTCACCAGCGCAAATGAGCTGGGCTCACCAGTGCCTGTGTTTCTGGGACTCACCACTGCATGTGAACAGCTGTGACGAAGGGCTCCAGGGCGGGCGACACAGCATGCAGGGCGTGCAGCAGTGGTGGGTCAACTCGACTCACAGCTCACCAGCGCAAATGAGCTGGGCTCACCAGTGCCTGTGTTTCTGGGACTCACCACTGCATGTGAACAGCTGTGACGAAGGGCTCCAGGGCGGGCGACACAGCATGCAGGGCGTGCAGCAGTGGTGGGTCAACTCGACTCACAGCTCACCAGCGCAAATGAGCTGGGCTCACCAGTGCCTGTGTTTCTGGGACTCACCACTGCATGTGAACAGCTGTGACGAAGGGCTCCAGGGCGGGCGACACAGCATGCAGGGCGTGCAGCAGTGGTGGGTCAACTCGACTCACAGCTCACCAGCGCAAATGAGCTGGGCTCACCAGTGCCTGTGTTTCTGGGACTCACCACTGCATGTGAACAGCTGTGACGAAGGGCTCCAGGGCGGGCGACACAGCATGCAGGGCGTGCAGCAGTGGTGGGTCAACTCGACTCACAGCTCACCAGCGCAAATGAGCTGGGCTCACCAGTGCCTGTGTTTCTGGGACTCACCACTGCATGTGAACAGCTGTGACGAAGGGCTCCAGGGCGGGCGACACAGCATGCAGGGCGTGCAGCAGTGGTGGGTCAACTCGACTCACAGCTCACCAGCGCAAATGAGCTGGGCTCACCAGTGCCTGTGTTTCTGGGACTCACCACTGCATGTGAACAGCTGTGACGAAGGGCTCCAGGGCGGGCGACACAGCATGCAGGGCGTGCAGCAGTGGTGGGTCAACTCGACTCACAGCTCACCAGCGCAAATGAGCTGGGCTCACCAGTGCCTGTGTTTCTGGGACTCACCACTGCATGTGAACAGCTGTGACGAAGGGCTCCAGGGCGGGCGACACAGCATGCAGGGCGTGCAGCAGTGGTGGGTCAACTCGACTCACAGCTCACCAGCGCAAATGAGCTGGGCTCACCAGTGCCTGTGTTTCTGGGACTCACCACTGCATGTGAACAGCTGTGACGAAGGGCTCCAGGGCGGGCGACACAGCATGCAGGGCGTGCAGCAGTGGTGGGTCAACTCGACTCACAGCTCACCAGCGCAAATGAGCTGGGCTCACCAGTGCCTGTGTTTCTGGGACTCACCACTGCATGTGAACAGCTGTGACGAAGGGCTCCAGGGCGGGCGACACAGCATGCAGGGCGTGCAGCAGTGGTGGGTCAACTCGACTCACAGCTCACCAGCGCAAATGAGCTGGGCTCACCAGTGCCTGTGTTTCTGGGACTCACCACTGCATGTGAACAGCTGTGACGAAGGGCTCCAGGGCGGGCGACACAGCATGCAGGGCGTGCAGCAGTGGTGGGTCAACTCGACTCACAGCTCACCAGCGCAAATGAGCTGGGCTCACCAGTGCCTGTGTTTCTGGGACTCACCACTGCATGTGAACAGCTGTGACGAAGGGCTCCAGGGCGGGCGACACAGCATGCAGGGCGTGCAGCAGTGGTGGGTCAACTCGACTCACAGCTCACCAGCGCAAATGAGCTGGGCTCACCAGTGCCTGTGTTTCTGGGACTCACCACTGCATGTGAACAGCTGTGACGAAGGGCTCCAGGGCGGGCGACACAGCATGCAGGGCGTGCAGCAGTGGTGGGTCAACTCGACTCACAGCTCACCAGCGCAAATGAGCTGGGCTCACCAGTGCCTGTGTTTCTGGGACTCACCACTGCATGTGAACAGCTGTGACGAAGGGCTCCAGGGCGGGCGACACAGCATGCAGGGCGTGCAGCAGTGGTGGGTCAACTCGACTCACAGCTCACCAGCGCAAATGAGCTGGGCTCACCAGTGCCTGTGTTTCTGGGACTCACCACTGCATGTGAACAGCTGTGACGAAGGGCTCCAGGGCGGGCGACACAGCATGCAGGGCGTGCAGCAGTGGTGGGTCAACTCGACTCACAGCTCACCAGCGCAAATGAGCTGGGCTCACCAGTGCCTGTGTTTCTGGGACTCACCACTGCATGTGAACAGCTGTGACGAAGGGCTCCAGGGCGGGCGACACAGCATGCAGGGCGTGCAGCAGTGGTGGGTCAACTCGACTCACAGCTCACCAGCGCAAATGAGCTGGGCTCACCAGTGCCTGTGTTTCTGGGACTCACCACTGCATGTGAACAGCTGTGACGAAGGGCTCCAGGGCGGGCGACACAGCATGCAGGGCGTGCAGCAGTGGTGGGTCAACTCGACTCACAGCTCACCAGCGCAAATGAGCTGGGCTCACCAGTGCCTGTGTTTCTGGGACTCACCACTGCATGTGAACAGCTGTGACGAAGGGCTCCAGGGCGGGCGACACAGCATGCAGGGCGTGCAGCAGTGGTGGGTCAACTCGACTCACAGCTCACCAGCGCAAATGAGCTGGGCTCACCAGTGCCTGTGTTTCTGGGACTCACCACTGCATGTGAACAGCTGTGACGAAGGGCTCCAGGGCGGGCGACACAGCATGCAGGGCGTGCAGCAGTGGTGGGTCAACTCGACTCACAGCTCACCAGCGCAAATGAGCTGGGCTCACCAGTGCCTGTGTTTCTGGGACTCACCACTGCATGTGAACAGCTGTGACGAAGGGCTCCAGGGCGGGCGACACAGCATGCAGGGCGTGCAGCAGTGGTGGGTCAACTCGACTCACAGCTCACCAGCGCAAATGAGCTGGGCTCACCAGTGCCTGTGTTTCTGGGACTCACCACTGCATGTGAACAGCTGTGACGAAGGGCTCCAGGGCGGGCGACACAGCATGCAGGGCGTGCAGCAGTGGTGGGTCAACTCGACTCACAGCTCACCAGCGCAAATGAGCTGGGCTCACCAGTGCCTGTGTTTCTGGGACTCACCACTGCATGTGAACAGCTGTGACGAAGGGCTCCAGGGCGGGCGACACAGCATGCAGGGCGTGCAGCAGTGGTGGGTCAACTCGACTCACAGCTCACCAGCGCAAATGAGCTGGGCTCACCAGTGCCTGTGTTTCTGGGACTCACCACTGCATGTGAACAGCTGTGACGAAGGGCTCCAGGGCGGGCGACACAGCATGCAGGGCGTGCAGCAGTGGTGGGTCAACTCGACTCACAGCTCACCAGCGCAAATGAGCTGGGCTCACCAGTGCCTGTGTTTCTGGGACTCACCACTGCATGTGAACAGCTGTGACGAAGGGCTCCAGGGCGGGCGACACAGCATGCAGGGCGTGCAGCAGTGGTGGGTCAACTCGACTCACAGCTCACCAGCGCAAATGAGCTGGGCTCACCAGTGCCTGTGTTTCTGGGACTCACCACTGCATGTGAACAGCTGTGACGAAGGGCTCCAGGGCGGGCGACACAGCATGCAGGGCGTGCAGCAGTGGTGGGTCAACTCGACTCACAGCTCACCAGCGCAAATGAGCTGGGCTCACCAGTGCCTGTGTTTCTGGGACTCACCACTGCATGTGAACAGCTGTGACGAAGGGCTCCAGGGCGGGCGACACAGCATGCAGGGCGTGCAGCAGTGGTGGGTCAACTCGACTCACAGCTCACCAGCGCAAATGAGCTGGGCTCACCAGTGCCTGTGTTTCTGGGACTCACCACTGCATGTGAACAGCTGTGACGAAGGGCTCCAGGGCGGGCGACACAGCATGCAGGGCGTGCAGCAGTGGTGGGTCAACTCGACTCACAGCTCACCAGCGCAAATGAGCTGGGCTCACCAGTGCCTGTGTTTCTGGGACTCACCACTGCATGTGAACAGCTGTGACGAAGGGCTCCAGGGCGGGCGACACAGCATGCAGGGCGTGCAGCAGTGGTGGGTCAACTCGACTCACAGCTCACCAGCGCAAATGAGCTGGGCTCACCAGTGCCTGTGTTTCTGGGACTCACCACTGCATGTGAACAGCTGTGACGAAGGGCTCCAGGGCGGGCGACACAGCATGCAGGGCGTGCAGCAGTGGTGGGTCAACTCGACTCACAGCTCACCAGCGCAAATGAGCTGGGCTCACCAGTGCCTGTGTTTCTGGGACTCACCACTGCATGTGAACAGCTGTGACGAAGGGCTCCAGGGCGGGCGACACAGCATGCAGGGCGTGCAGCAGTGGTGGGTCAACTCGACTCACAGCTCACCAGCGCAAATGAGCTGGGCTCACCAGTGCCTGTGTTTCTGGGACTCACCACTGCATGTGAACAGCTGTGACGAAGGGCTCCAGGGCGGGCGACACAGCATGCAGGGCGTGCAGCAGTGGTGGGTCAACTCGACTCACAGCTCACCAGCGCAAATGAGCTGGGCTCACCAGTGCCTGTGTTTCTGGGACTCACCACTGCATGTGAACAGCTGTGACGAAGGGCTCCAGGGCGGGCGACACAGCATGCAGG